AGCGAGTTGCCATACGAAAGCGGTGACCCGAGTTCACGTCCCGCTCACGGCCAACACCGGTGATGCATTTCTAAACCGGTTATGGGCCTCCCATTGTATCGCATCTCCGTGTGTTCGCAAGTGGTGAGTCCGTTTGATTCGATTCTAGTGCTGGGCTGAGTGGGGGGTGGGGTACGTCTCCACCCCAAGCACCATTCACGCTCACAACGCTTTCAATGTAATCTGGCCGGCGTGGAAGAGATTGGGAGGACAAAACGCTGACATATCAAAAATAGCACTTTCTATTCACCACTGTTCTTGGACGCATTTTTAGCACGCCTCTAAATCTTATCTCGCCTGATTTTGTACTCGGGATTTGTATAAACCTTGTTACATAGGGTTCACGAATACAATATCGGATTATTGTGAAGCCTTGCACTCTCGTTGTAGTGCCGTGTGCCGAAACCCCACCCCTACTTCAAGTCAGGATAGCTGGGTGAGAAACGAATGAATACTTCACTGGAGGATTTCTCCACAACTCTGGCTGTCGCCTGATGAGGCTGGTTGTAATCACCGGCGAAACGTCACGGTACTAGAATTGTAAACGTTGTCGTGGGTTCACTCTCCAACACACAACCGGTGTGCGGAACTAGTAACGAATTGGCATGTTTTGTCTACGTGACAGACCTTACGAATTGGCTGTGTCGGGTGGTGGCGGGTTTAACGACGCATTTATATTTACGCGATCTTACCCAAAACAACCTATGTTATGGATAATATTGGTCGCGAAAGCCCCCTACTACTACTGCTACCACGTGTTCAACTGAATGAGGCCCCTGTCGCATATTACGTCTGGGGAAGCGGGCAGAAGGAATGAAGCGATGGCGAGCTGCTGCTGCTGCTGCTGGTGGTGGTGGGGGTGTTGGATAACCTCGCTCCCGTGAATCAGGCAGGCGGCCGTGACGAATCGCCGGAGAATTCTCGGCTTGCGATAAGCGGGCCGACTCACGTGGACATACTGCACGTGCGGTGAGTCACGTGTGCCCCGAAGTACCCCGTGCACAGGCCCTGTTTGTCAAACGGCTGGATGAGGTTTGTCCCTGCGCCCGAGGGGGGTGGTGGTCTTTTGACCATACTTCACCACACACTGGCCCAGGTGCGCTGGACTATGGTTGAAGCATGGTTAATGTAAGTCATGATACTTCACCACACACTGGCCCAGGTGCGCTGGACTATGGTTGAAGCATGGTTAATGTAAGTCATGATACTTCACCACACACTGACCCAGGTGCGCTGGACTATGGTTGAAGCATGGTTAATGTAAGTCATGATACTTCACCACACACTGACCCAGGTGCGCTGGACTATGGTTGAAGCATGGTTAATGTAAATCATGATACTTCACCACACACTGACCAGGTGCGCTGGACTATGGTTGAAGCATGGTTAATGTAAGTCATGATACTTCACCACACACTGACCCAGGTGCGCTGGACTATGGTTGAAGCATGGTTAATGTAAATCATGATACTTCACCACACACTGACCAGGTGCGCTGGACTATGGTTGAAGCATGGTTAATGTAAGCCATGATACTTCACCGCACCTATTACTACTGAACTTGTTTTTATTTTACCAACTCAGGCCCACTTAGCTATGTAGCTGTTTTTCACATGCGGCCTGGCCACAAATGACAGCTCTATTTCATGGCTCAGCACGTGGAAATGTACAGCAACAGCCAGATACTATAAACGCATGATGTTGGTCGAGAGCAACGGATTGGTTAAACCGGTGAGCATAGGAGTACAGTACAATTGATTTTTTATGAATGTCCCTATTGCTGCCCACCCACACAACGTAAGCCCCGCAGCCTATATCACCTGTTATGCATGCCCCCCCCCCCCTAACAACCGCCGTTCACCACTAAGTGGCGGTGCCATTCCCGGTACAATTCGAGGCCACCCAACCCCCCCGCCTCGCGTCCACCGACCCATTCTTGGCTCGCGCGATGCGACCCATTCCGGATGATTGGGTCACGGATGATGATGTTGGTGACTCACTCACCGAGTCTGTACCGGAACGAGAGGACTACTCATCCCGATTCTGATGAGTGTTTAGATTACGAAATCTCGGTTCTCGATCTCGTGTGATGACGATCACGCCAGAACTACGCCGCTAATGTTCACGGAAATTGCCAGGATTTGTATTTTAGTTAATTATTTAATTGCCTTTGTCTGACCCCTCCCCCCCCTCTATGAGTGTAGTACGGAATGTGTCGCCGTCTTCGCAACCGCTGGGCGTGATTCAGCTCTGCGACTCGCGCTGTTCCACGCGGTGGATACGGTGTGGGATTGATTGTATCTGTGCCAATGTGCGAGACTGTGCTGTGCATGTGTGCGTGTAAAGTGTGGGCCTCGCTTAGGTCGACTGAGCCTCCAATGGGTGTGTGTGTGTGTGTAAACATCGCCACTGTGGAGACAAAGGCGGCCGGGCGTGGTGTTGGCCACGCCACGTCCTCGTGTGCCGTGCCGGTTTTCATAGGCGCTCGCCAACAGCACTTGCCCCAAAAGTCTATTGAGGCTACACGGATGATCTTTGCCTTTGTGTGTATGTGCGCCTGCGAAGGTCCGGTTCGATTCCCCGGCATGAGCTTCGGGCTGCTTACATCAACTGCGGCTGGCACAAACAAAAGACAACACCACCACCAACAACAACATACGTCCCATAAGGCCGATAGGGTGATGGACTAAAACGTCGATTTTATTTTTAGGCGCGTGCCAGGCGCGCGTCTGGCCGTTATTTCTTTATTTAACAATCTCCTAAAGTGGCGATGTTGCTCGCCGCCTCGGCTGGCGCCCTTCTCGCCCCCACCGAGAGAGGCGCGAGGCTCCCTGCGGCTGCGACTGCTCGCCCCCGGCAGTGAAGGGCGAACGGCGCGGCCTGTTGGCACTGTTCCGTCTCTCCCTTCCGCCTCGCACCGACAACACAAACCAAACCCAACCCCCCCACCTCCACCGCACTCCTTGCGCGATTCCCGGCAGTGAAGGGCACCGCGGTGGCCCGGTAGGCAGGAGGACGTGGGTTCAATCCCAACCCTGACGCTTGTTTAAAGGGGGCTTCGAAATCAATGTTAACACTTTTATGGGACTATCGCTTTTAATGGAAAATGCAAGGACAATACACTCGAACATGATAACAAATGTAATGTTAATAGCTTCAAAAAGTCAAAGAGGTTCCACTTGTTCGCCATCATTGTCAATACCTGCCTGGAATCACCCTGTATTTGGAGTTTGCATGTTCTCTCTCCCCGTGGCCGCATGCATTTCTATTCGGGTCCCCAGTTTTCCCTCCGCTTTTAGAATCCACACGCGTTTAGATTATTTGGCTGATATAAATGTCCACGTGATAAGCCACTTCGTTGAGCTATCATTTGTGGTCAGGTCGCTTCTACAAAAAATAAACTCTATAGCTCAGTGGGCCTTATGGTAAAATACAAAAATATATAGTTTCGTTTATTATTAATATATCACAAGAGTAGATGATGAACAGGCATCTCATTAATATTACAAAGTTAAATAAAAGTGTTTCTTACACAGCCCATCAGCAGCAGCATTGATTCAGGACAAGCAACAACACCGACAACAACGACAACAACTCTGGACCGGTTTCGTCATTCAGTGTCTCATCGGCAGGGGTAAAGTCTTGCTGAAATCACTGCTGGTGTCCTGCCGGATGTGACAGGCAATAGGCCCTCTCTTTAAGATAGTTAATATTGTAATAACAATACTGCGCAGCAAAATAAATAAAAAATTGTTAATCCACTGCCGAATGAAAGCTTCCAAACGCCGCTGTCAGTCGCGTATTCAGCTCCAAAACATGTATTGCTTGGGGCTCGCAGATGGCAGTGAGGCGGTGTCCGATGTGGCTGTTACGTCTCTCCGTTCATGTCATTGTTTGCTCTCCAGGAAGAGGTCACGCCCGATCAAGAAACAAAACGTACATTTAGAAAACTGCGTGTATAATTGTTAGGCAAATTTTCCGTTCGCAGTATTGTATACGGCTCATACTTTCCGAGTTATGATGAGTGGTATTCCCTACAGTCCTGCCAAGTCATCAAGGGGAGCTATTCACCACCCAGGCTGGGGCCACGGTTATAGAACGTAGGACATTTTATATTCGGTTTAAGATACAATTTCTCTTCACTCTTGTGCTTTCATCGTAAAACTAAGAGTTCAAATGTATATATTGAAAAAAAGTCGTGACATTGTGGGTGTTCGTCAGACTTGAGACAAATCTTAAGGGTCGTTCCCTGGACCCTTCTGTCCCGAGCCGGAATCGAAAACGTGCTTCTTGAAATCGAGTGCTGGCCTGGGGTTGGATATTCCAACTTTGTTGAACTTCTTTTTGTTCCCGCAATAGTTCAACACCCCCCCCCCCCCAGCCGCCCGGGAGAGACATTTACCCTGGCCACCTGAGCACAGTGCACTGTACCGTGTAGACAATTCCTCGAACAAGTCTGCGGATTGAAATGGAGAACTTCTGTCGGCGTCGGACAGAACCTGAGTAATCCACGGCTGCTTGCGGCTGACAACGAGGGAGGGGATGACGCCGGAGGGGGGGGGGGGCTACGTGCCTCTGCTGCTCACGATAACTGTGACGATGGGGGTGGGGGGAGAAATGGGAGTGGTGGGGGGGGAGTGGTGGTGGGGGGTAGTGGTGGGGGGTAGTGGTGGGGTGTAGTGGTGGGGGGGGGTAGTGGTGGGGGGGGGGGGGGTAGTGGTGGGGGGGGGGTAGTGGGGGAGTAGTGGTGGGGGTAGTGGTGGGGGGGATAATGGTGTGGGGGAGATAATGGTGGGGGGAGGGTAGTAGTGGGGGGTAGTGGTGGGGGGGTTAGTGGTGGAGTAGTGGTGGGGGTTAGTGGTAGGGCGGATAGTGGTGGGGGTAGTGGTGGGGGGGATAATGGTGGGGGGGGGGGTGGAGGGGGTAGTGGTGGAGGGGGTAGTGGTGGGGGGGGTGCACGTGTTGGGCGGTGCCTTGTGGTTTGTGGGGTGCAACGGATGGCGCGCTACGATACAAACCTGGCCACCCTCCCTCCCACCACCACCACGAAGAGTCACCACCCACTCTGTTACCGCGCGCGAGAGGTCGTGGTAGTGGGGATGATGATGATGGTGGTGAAGGCTCATTCGGTGAACGCTCCCGGCTGAGACGAGGCCTGAACGAGAGCGAGCGAGCGAGCGATCATCGCTTATTCATCTTCTTGAGGAATGAGAATCCTACATCATCACCACCGCCTCCCGAACACCATCGCCACCATCATCCTCTTCCACATCATCAGTGTCAGCCACCTCGTCGCAGGGAGGTCACAGAAACCAGCTGCTACCGGTAAGCACGTGCTTGAAACACATTTGAAGGAACAACAATCTTTAAACACAAATGTTGCTGCGTTTTATAATTAACGAGAGTGTACATTCGTTTACACACCGCGTTTGAAAGAGTCAGCAACAATGAATTGCAGTCCCTCACCCCTTCGCCCCCCTAGTCAATCCACCGCTGGATGAGCGTTTCCTCCCTGTTTGACCATACTTCACCACGTGGGTCAGCAACCCCGGGGGGAGGGGGTCAAGGAGGGAGGCGGCGCGAGACGTCTCCAGACCGCCGTGGCCGGGACTCGGCTGAGACGGCCCCTGTGGGGGGCGCAGTCGACATCCCTTGAGCCCCCCCCCCCCACGGCCCCCCAATCCGACGAAAAACTCGAGAGAAGTGAACTACGGTGATGGTGGTGATGATGGTGGTGGTGATGGTGATGATGGTGGTGGTGATGATGATGGTGATGATGATGGTGGTGATGATGATGATGGTGGTGATGGTGATGATGGTGGCGATGTTGGTGATGATGGTGGTGATGGTGGTGATGATGGTGATGATGATGGTGATGATGATGGTGATGATGATGGTGGTGATGGTGATGATGATGGTGATGATGATGGTGGTGATGATGGTGATGATGATGATGGTGATGATGGTGGTGATGATGGTGGTGATGATGGTGATGATGATGGTGACGATGATGGTGGCGATGATAGTGGTGATGGTGATAATGATGGTGGTGATGGTGGTGGTGATGATGATGGTGATGATGGTGATGATGTTGATGATGGTGATGATGATGGTGATGATGGTGGTGATGATGATGATGGTGATGATGATGGTGGTGATGATGATGGTGGTGATGGTGATGATGGTGGTGATGATGATGATAGTGATGATGATGGTGATGATGGTAGTGATGGTGATGATGAGGGTCGAGCGGCGCGGGACCAGGAACTCGCGGTCGGGGACGGATTCGTGTGGACCGGTGCAGCGGTGGATGGATCGTGGATGATCGTGGTGGATCGTGGTGGATTGTGGATGATCGTGGTGGATCGTGGTGGATTGTGGATGATCGTGGTGGATCGTGGATGATCGTGGATGATCGTGGTGGATCGTGGATGATCGTGGTGGATTGTGGATGATCGTGGTGGATCGTGGATGATCGTGGATGATCGTGGTGGATCGTGGTGGATCGTGGATGATCGTGGTGGATCGTGGATGATCGTGGTGGATCGTGGATGATCGTGGTGGATCGTGGTGGATTGTGGATTATCGTGGTGGATCGTGGATGATCGTGGTGGATCGTGGATGGATCGTGGCTGTGGGGATGCCTCTTGTCGTTGTTTGCGGAGAGATGGGAAGTTTACTTTCGGTGTCTGCCCTGTCGCCTACACTGTACAGTTAACTGCGATGCACCGTCGCGGGCTACGCGTAGGTCAACTCAGCCCAAACTGAGTACGTTCGATATGTCGGGTGGCCTGATCGTAGACAGAAGTGTGGAGAGACAAAGGCGGACGCGCGTGCCTCTGGTGTGTTAGTCGGCCACACCGCCCCGCTATAATTGTCCGCTATGTGTAGGCCCACACGGAGGCGTCTTTGTGGGTGGTGAGTTGTGTGTTGTAGCTGTGTGTGTGTGTTGTAGCTGTGTGTGAGTTGTGTGTTGTAGCTGTGTGTGTGTGTTGTGTATTGTAGCTGGGTGTGAGTGTGTTGTAGCTGTGTGTGAGTTGTGTGTTGTAGCTGTGTGTGTGTTGTAGCTGTGTGTGAGTTGTGTATTGTAGCTGTGTGTGTGTTGTGTATTGTAACTGGGTGTGAGTGTGTTGTAGCTGTGTGTGTTGTAGCTGTGTGTGTGTTGTGTGTTGTAGCTGTGTGTGTGTTGTAGCTGTGTGTGTTGTGTGTTGTAGCTGTGTGTGTTGTGTGTTGTAGCTGTGTGTTGTAGCTGTGTGTTGTAGCTGTGTGTGTGTTTTGTGTTGTAGCTGTGTGTGTTGTAGCTGTGTGTGTGTTGTAGCTCTGTGTGTTGTGTGTTGTAGCTGTGTGTGTTGTGTATTGTAGCTGTGTGTGAGTGTGTTGTAGCTGTGTGTGTGTGTGTTGTAGCTGTGTGAGTGTGTGTTGTGTATTGTAGCTGTGTGTGTGTTGTAGCTGTGTGTGTGTGTTGTGTGTTGTAGCTGTGTGTGAGTGTGTTGTGTATTGTAGCTGTGTGTGTGTTGTGTATTGTAGCTGTGTGTGAGTGTGTGTATTGTAGCTGTGTGTGTGAGTGTGTTGTGTGTTGTAGCTGTGTGTGAGTGTGTTGTGTGTTATAGCTGTGTGAGTGTGTTGTGTATTGTAGCTGTGTGTGAGTGTGTGTATTGTAGCTGTGTGTGTGAGTGTGTTGTGTGTTGTAGCTGTGTGTGAGTGTGTTGTGTGTTGTGTATTGTAGTTGGGTGTGAGTGAGTTGTGTATTGTAGCTGTGTGTGTGTTTTGTTGAAGCTGGGTGTGTGTTGTGTATTGTAGCTGTGTGTGAGTTGTGTATTGTAGCTGTGTGTGAGTGTGTTGTGTGTTGTAGCTGTGTGAGTGTGCTGTGTATTGTAGCTGTGTGAGTGTGTTGTGTATTGTAGCTGTGTGTGTGTGTTGTGTATTGTAGCTGTGTGTGAGTGTGTTGTGTATTGTAGCTGTGTGTGAGTGTGTTGTGTTTTGTAGCTGTGTGTGAGTGTGTTGTGTTTTGTAGCTGTGTGTGAGTGTGTTGTGTTTTGTAGCTGTGAGTGTGTTGTGTTTTGTAGCTGTGTGTGAGTGTGTTGTGTTTTGTAGCTGTGTGTGAGTGAGTTGTGTATTGTAGCTGTGTGTGAGTGAGTTGTGTATTGTAACTGGGTGTGAGTGTGTTGTGTTTTGTAGCTGTGTGTGAGTGTGTTGTGTATTGTAGCTGTGTGTGAGTGTGTTGTGTTTTGTAGCTGTGTGTGAGTTGTGTATTGTAGCTGTGTGTGAGTGTGTTGTGTTTTGTAGCTGTGTGTGAGTGAGTTGTGTATTGTAGCTGGGTGTGAGTGTGTTGTGTATTGTAGCTGGGTGTGTGTATTGTAGCTGTGTGTGTGTTGTGTGTGTTGTAGCTGTGTGTGTGTTGTAGCTGTGTGTGTGTTGTAGCTGGGTGTGAGTGTGTTGTAGCTGTGTGTGTGTTGTGTATTGTAGCTGGGTGTGAGTGTGTTGTGTGTTGTAGCTGGGTGTGTGTGAGTTGTGTGTTGTAGCTGTGAGTGTGTTGTGTATTGTAGCTCGGCGTGAGTGAGTTGTGTATTGTATCTGGGTGTAAGTGTGTTGTAGCTGGGTATGTGTTGTGTATTGTAGCTGAGTGTGAGTGTGTTGTAGCTGGGTATGTGTTGTGTATTGTAGCTGGGTGTGAGTGTGTTGTAGTGGGTGTGTGTTGTGTATTGTAGCTGAGTGTGAGTGTGTTGTAGCTGGGTATGTGTTGTGTATTGTAGCTGAGTGTGAGTGTGTTGTAGCTGGGTATGTGTTGTGTATTGTAGCTGGGTGTGAGTGTGTTGTAGCTGGGTGTGTGTTGTGTATTGTAGCTGGGTGTGAGTGTGTTGTGTATTGTAGCTGGGTGTGAGTGTTGTGTATTTGTAGCTGGGGAGGCGGCCGGGTTAGTTGCTGGCCACCTACCCCTCGTGTGCCGTTCCGACCTTCATAGTAGCAGCACTTTCCCCTACAGTCTGTTAGAGGCTACACTGGGGGGGGGGGGAGTCTTTGTCTTGTATCATGATGACGCCGGTTTACCCAGGCTCATGGCTCTTTATCAGGAGCATACTGTATGCGAGACTATCCAGGGGCTTTTGTGCGTAAGAGCGCACGTCTGTAGATGTGCCATGGGAACAACACGTGTGTATGTACGTACAAAGACAAAGATCCCCCGTGTATTATTGCCTGTTGGGGAAAGTGCAGTCGGCGTGCCACGCCCGGCAGCCTTTGTCTTCCCAGCGCTGAGCATCTGCGCTGAGTATCTGCACACCGCACCAGGTACTCACTGACGGCCAAGTCGATCTAGTGGAGGCCCAGGACTGGTTCGTCTCTGACATTAACCTTGAGCGGCAGTTGACCTCTGTTGCTGGTAGCCCCATGCACTGATTACTGCACCACCGTTCCCCACTCTCGATGTACTCTGCATACCCATCGCGCACACGTCTGTTACAAATGTCTGTGTTATTGTACACGCTACGGTGGAGGGTGAGCTGTGAGATGACGATGGTGGGGATGGTTTGGAGATGCTGTGGTTGAGTTCAGTGATGGTGTATGATGACGTGATGGTGTATGATGACGTGATGGGTTTGGTGATGGTGTATGATGACGTGATAGTGATGGTGTATGATGACGTGATGGTGTATGGTGATGGTGTATGATGACGTGATGGTGATGGTGTATGATGACGTGATGGTGTATGATGACGTGATGGGTTTGGTGATGGTGTATGATGACGTGATGGTGATGGTGTATGGTGATGTGATGGTGTATGGTGACGTGATGGTGTATGATGACGGGATGGTGTATGGTGATGGTGTATGGTGACGTGATGGGTTTGGTGATGGTGTATGATGACGTGATGGTGTATGATGATGTGATGGTGTATGATGACGTGATGGTGTATGGTGATGGTGTATGATGACGTGATGGTGTATGGTGATGGTGTATGATGACGTGATGGTGTATGGTGATGGTGTTTGATGACGTGATGGTGTATGATGACGTGATGGTGTATGATGACGTGATGGGGTATTATGACGTGATGGTGTATGGTGATGGTGTATGATGACGTGATGGTGTATGATGACGTGATGTGTTTGGTGATGTGCGCTCTGTTGGTGTGGTGAGTGTTGGTGATAATTGGTGTGATGCTGTGTAATAGTGATGATGGTGTCTGGTAGTGATGATAGTATGGTGATGGTTCGGTGTTGGTGTGGTGATTGCGTGCAGGTAGGAGCCACGCTCCGGTGATCCACCTATCCCAGGAAGATGTCTTCCTGCCCAGAATCCTGGAGGAGTTGCGGAGTCGTCGTGACGTCCCCCAGCACCAGCAGGTCCACTCCACATTCACTCGTCCATCACACCCACTCGTCCATCACACCCACTCGTCCATCACACCCACTCTTCCATCACTACCCACTCGTCCATCACACCCACTCGTCCATCACACCCACTCGTCCATCGCACCCACTCGTCCATCGCACCCACTCGTCCATCGCACCCACTCGTCCATCACACCCACTCGTCCATCACACCCACTCTTCCATCACACCCACTCGTCCATCACACCCACTCGTCCATCGCACCCACTCGTCCATCGCACCCACTCGTCCATCGCACCCACTCGTCCATCACACCCACTCGTCCATCACACCCACTCGTCCATCACACCCACTCGTCCATCGCACCCACTCATCCATCGCACCCACTCGTCCATCGCACCCACTCGTCCATCGCACCCACTCGTCCATCACACCCACTCGTCCATCACACCCACTCTTCCATCACTACCCACTCGTCCATCACTACCCACTCGTCCATCACACCCACTCGTCCATCACACCCACTCGTCCATCACACCCACTCGTCCATCACACCCACTCGTCCATCACACCCACTCGTCCATCACACCCACTCGTCCATCACACCCACTCTTCCATCACACCCACTCGTCCATGACACCCACTCGTCCATCACACCCACTCGTCCATCACACACTCTCGCTAGCCACAGACGTCCCCCAGCACCAGCAGGTCCACTCCACACCCACTCGTCTATCACACCCACTCGTCCATCACACCCACTCGTCCATCACACCCACTCGTCCATCACACCCACTCGTCCATCACACCCACTCGTCCATCACACACTCTCGCTAGCCACAGACGTCTCCCAGCACCAGCAGGTCCACTCCACATCCACTCTACATCATCCAATCCAGACGGGCAGCGGCTGCCGTTATAATCCCCGATTGTAATGAACCCTTGCGATCGCAGTCCGTTACGCAAATCGATTATTTTCAATTTACACGTTGGTAGTGCCGGTGTTGCGGTACGGAGCGGTGGCACGGCGGTTGGTGCACTGCGCTATGACCTTGGCGACCTGAGTTCGATCCCCAGACCGCGGTCTGGAGCTAGAGGTCTGCACGGATGGGTTCACGGGACCACGTGCTTTCTGCGACTGACCGCGTGACCACGTGCACGTCCCTTTCCTGTACTGAGCAGGGTCGCTGGCCCGACCGGGCGCGATACGCGGTGCGGGTCGGGGGCCGGGACGCTGTGGTGGCGCTGCGGAGGAACCGGTGAGGAGTCGCGCTGCTGTTAATTACATCGCCTGGTATACAGGAGGTCGTGGATTCGACCCTGACCCTGACGCCTGCTGCTGTGTATTTGCACGTCTCTCTCACCGTGGTCGCGTGGATTTTTTTTTTTACATAGCTCAGTGGGCCTTACCTGGTGATTAAAAAAAGTTTTTAGTTTAAATTACACCGGTTCACCAGGGTTCATTGCCATCATCATCGTCGTCAGCACCCCCCCCCTTTAAACCCCTTAATCGGTCTTCAACCGACCCCCCCCCACCTCCCTGCAGCCCCCCAATTACAATTTGAAATTCCCGGGGCTTCCACCCTTGGGATCCCCTGGCCAATCCGATTCGAGTGTCAAGCATTCGGCCAATTGGGCGCAAGCCGAGCGTGCGCTCAGCGAGAGGCTGCCGGCCAATGGCAGAGAGGGAGAGAGAGGGAGGGAGAGAGAGGGAGAGAGAGGGAGAGAGAGGGAGCGCTGCGCATTCACACACCGAGCTGTTTACCGGGCCGCGTGCCGCGGCGGTAAATATTCGATGAGTGGCACCGAATCGACGAGCCGCTGCGTCGTTACGAGCCTCGCACGTTCGTCCTGGACGCCTGTGACTGGTGTCGAACTTGGCTCGCCTCCAGGGAGCTGATGTCGCGAGACTACACGGAGTTCCACTACCTGGCCGACGGGACGCCGGTGACGAACACGACGGTGGAACGGGTGAGTGGATAATCCTCGGAAGTTCCCTTTCCTTCCCTTTCAGTTTCTTCGTCCGTGACCCGGTGCCACGGAGGCTGCCGAGAGGTGGCCACGGGACGTCAAGAGTGCGGCAGCGGAATCTTGAATCCATCCCGTGCGGAGCTCTTGAGTGTTACCCGGCTCTTGTGCATGGTGGTGGGTGCTTACTGGGTGCTCCTACGTGAAGCCAAAATCTCCTGAATGGAATTCGTGGTCAGACATTCCAATGCAGCAGGACCCTCCTGATAGGGAGTCTTGAGCCTCGGTGTGACTTCCCTGCTTAATAGATTGGCATCGAGACACCATTGTGATGCGAGCGAGCGGGCTTGGCTTGACCAGGACACGCCACGGGGACCGGACGATGGCCGGTGGTGTCAGGAATAACGATGGAGTGGCAGTCGAGGGAGAGAACGCGTCCGGGAGGCCCAGCCCGCCAAAGGAGATGGAGCGACGAAATCCATCCGTGCGCACGCAGGGGGTGCTCGGTGGATTGTTCCACCGCAGGACCATGAGAGGGGGGCTTCGCGCTTGGGAAAAGAAGGCCGTCATCCAGCAGCAGATTGATCGCGTCCGATTGTGCAATATCACGGAGCTCTCCGATCATGCCCCGTTCCTTCCTTCCATTCGCAGAGCCACTGCCTCTACCAGGGCCACGTGGAGGGGGAGCCGGGCTCCTCTGTCAGCCTCAGCACCTGCGACGGACTCCGGTAAGGGATACCTGGGATGAGACGCAGCAGCAACAACAGTGGCTGCGCATGGGGACCAGGTGGTCGAGAAGATACCGTGGTCGAGAAGACACCGTAGTCAAACAGACACTAACCCTGCGTCTAGCCCTAACCCAACCAGACACTAACCCTAGCCCAACCAGACACTAACCCTACCCCTAGCCCAACCAGACACTAACCCTGCGTCTAGCCCTAACCCAACCACACACTAACCCTACCCCTAGCCCAACCAGACACTAACCCTAGCCCAACCAGATACTAACCCTGCGTCTAGCCCTAACCCAACCACACACTAACCCTACCCCTAGCCCAACCAGACACTAACCCTAGCCCAACCAGATACTAACCCTGCGTCTAGCCCTAACCCAACCACACACTAACCCTACCCCTAGCCCAACCAGACACTAACCCTACCCCTAGCCCAACCAGACACTATCCCTACCCCTAGCCCAACCAGATACTAACCCTACCCCTAGCCCAACCAGACACTAACCCTACCCCTAGCCAAACGAGACACTAACCCTAGCCCAACCAGATACTAACCCTACCCCTAGCCCAACCAGACACTAACCCTAGCCCAACCAGACACTAACCCTGCGTTTAGCCCTAACCCAACCACACACTAATCCTACCCCTAGCCCAACCAGATACTAACCCTACCCCTAGCCCAACCAGACACTAACCCTAGCCCAACCACACACTAACCCTGCGTTTAGCCCTAACCCAACCACACACTAACCCTACCCCTAGCCCAACCAGACACTAACCCTACCCCTAGCCCAACCACACACTAACCCTAGCCCAACCAGATACTAACCTTACCCCTAGCCCAACCAGATACTAACCCTACCCCTAGCCCAACCACACACTAACCCTAGCCCAACCAGATACTAACCCTGCGTCTAGCCCTAACCCAACCACACACTAACCCTACCCCTAGCCCAACCAGACACTAACCCTACCCCTAGCCCAACCAGACACTATCCCTACCCCTAGCCCAACCAGATACTAACCCTACCCCTAGCCCAACCAGACACTAACCCTACCCCTAGCCAAACGAGACACTAACCCTAGCCCAACCAGATACTAACCCTACCCCTAGCCCAACCAGACACTAACCCTAACCCAACCAGACACTAACCCTGCGTTTAGCCCTAACCCAACCACACACTAATCCTACCCCTAGCCCAACCAGATACTAACCCTACCCCTAGCCCAACCAGACACTAACCCTAGCCCAACCACACACTAACCCTGCGTTTAGCCCTAACCCAACCACACACTAACCCTACCCCTAGCCCAACCAGACACTAACCCTACCCCTAGCCCAACCACACACTAACCCTAGCCCAACCAGATACTAACCTTACCCCTAGCCCAACCAGATACTAACCCTACCCCTAGCCCAACCACACACTAACCCTAGCCCAACCAGATACTAACCCTACCCCTAGCCCAACCAGATACTAACCCTACCCCTAGCCCAACCAGATACTAACCCTACCCCTAGCCCAACCACACACTAACCCTGCGTCTAGCCCAACCAGATACTAACCCTACCCCTAGCCCAACCAGATACTAACCCTACCCCTAGCCCAACCACACACTAACCCTGCGTCTAGCCCAACCAGATACTAACCCTGCATCTAGCCCAACCAGATACTAACCCTGCGTCTAGCCCAACCAGATACTAACCCTGCGTCTAGCCCAACCACACACTAACCCTACCCCTACCCCAACCAGACACAAACCCTGCGTCTAGCCCAACCAGACACAAACCCTACCCCTAGCCCAACCAGACACTAACCCTGCGTCTAGCCCAACTCCCGCTGGCCCTCACCCTGACCTCGCCCTCCTCCCGCCCTGCCCCCCCCCCGCCCCCACCAACAGCGGTCTCCTCCGTGTGTCCCACGGGAGCTACGTGGTGGAGCCGCTCCCCGGCTCCTCCTCGGGGGAGCACACCTCGTCGCGCGTTCGCCGCTCCGCCGAGCCCCACGCCACCTGCGGGGTCGCGGACGCGGCGCCTTCCCCTCCTCCACCGTCGTCGTCCCCGCCTCCTCCTCGTTATCGTAACCGCGATGCGTCGCCGTGGTCGCCGCAGTGGCGGACGGGCCGCCCCCGCGTGGCGGCAATGGTGGCGCCCGTCACCGAGGTGCAGCGGGCGCTGCTCTCCGACACCAAATACGTCTCGCTCGTCATCGTGGTGGACAACGCCGAGGTGCGGCGCACGCTCACCGCCGTTCGTTACGCCGGCTCGCCCCGAGTTCGTTCGCTGTCGTCGTCGTCATTACGATCGTTGCATTCCTCCGTAGACTGTCGCTGGGCCCACGGCAAATCACTGTCGGGGGACGATTAACCGACAGAAACTTTTTTTTGGCCAAAAAAAAAAATAAGTCGTGGCAAGTGGTCTCCGCCGTCGCCACCGCGTTGCGCACCAGCCGTTTCGCCGGGAACGCCGCCCGTTCGTCCCCCACCTCACACCTTCCACCGCCGTTTTTGTTGTGTCGGTTGTTGTCGTTGTGTCCGTGACCAGTTCGTCAAGTTGGGGCGCGACATGCAGCGGGTGCGCCAGCGCGTTCTGGAGGTCACGAACCACGTGGACAAGGTGAGTCGGCGCCGCGATCGCGTGGCAGCCCCCATGGTCGGCCGTGGCTGGGACTCAAACTCGGGCTAGCCGGCCTCGTGGTGCCGGACGTGCTTAGGGAGCCAGCGCAGCCACAGAGCTCGCCACGCGTGATGCAAGGGAGGGTAAATACTCAAAGGCCCACACAGATGGGTTCAAGGAACCCACTTCGGGTGTTGCCATCTCCTGGCCCCTTTGTAGACCCGGCGACGTTTGTGAGTTTCGCAAATCTCCGCGTGATCCATCAACCCCTTGCACTCCCAACCGCTGGATCCGCTCACCGGTTAGCGAACGAACGGCGTCAATAAATGCCCGTTAATAAAATAGCGAGGGAGCGTGGAGAGTCGCGCGCTTGCGACCGCGCCGACGGACGGAACAAACGGAAGCGTTCAGGTTGCGCCGCGCGTGGCAGGGTCGTGGCAGGGTCGTGGCAGGGTCGTGGCAGGGTCGTGGCAGGGTCGTGGCAGGGTCGTGGCAGGGTCGTGGCAGGGTCGTGGCAGGGTCGTGGCAGGGTCGTGGCAGGGTCGTGGCAGGGTCGTGGCACGGCTAGCAGAGGCACCGCGGTCATCGGTTGAGAGAACCGGAGGAGTGGCAGCCGAGGGATGGGACGTCCACCGTGGAGTTGGGAGCGATGGATTTCGGCCCGTGGCGTGCCGGCACCGGACGGTATCGCACGATCGTGAGAGATGGCGACGGCAGTAGATAGATCACGGCTTCTCCTGCTGATGACGGTGATTTCTCCCGGCGGCCTGTAGCTCTACCGCCCGCTCAACATCCGCGTGGCGCTCGTGGGCCTGGAGGTGTGGACCCACGAGGACAAGGCGCCCATTACCTCCGACCCCAAGCTCACCCTCGACCGCTTTCTGGACTGGCGCTTCCTGCACCTCGTGCCGCGCAAGCGCCACGACAACACGCAGCTCCTCACGTGCGTCGCGTTGCCGACGTCACTCCGCCCCCACCACCCCCCACCACCCCCCACCACCCCCCACCACCCCCCACCAACCCCCACCGTGGCCGTCGATCCCACGCAGTGGCAATTGGGATAAAATTGTGGAACAAAAATTAAAAAAGTGCAATCTCATCAACGCGCGCACAGCATGTGGTGGGCGTGGACGCGAGGTGAGCGACGCCATCTCACCACCGCCCCCCCCCTTGCGTCTCCTCCTTGTGTCGTCTCCTGCACAGCGGGATGGACTTTGTCGGTGACACCGTGGGCCTGGCTCCCATCTCGGGCATGTGCTCCATCCGCCAGTCTGGTGCCATCAATCAGGTGGGGGGGGGGGTTGGTGAGGGCGGCCGCTCTTTCTCTGTCTCCACGTCGCTCCGCTTGCAGCGCCACTCCAGTCCAACATCCCCCCCTCCCCCCCCCCCCCCCCCCCGTGCGCACGACTCCCCGTGCCACATCCCCGACGTCCGTCCTCGGGGTGTCCCCCCCCTCTCCCCTCTCCCCTCGGCCGCGCTTCTCTCGTCTCCTCGTCGATCGCCGCCACCTTCGCCGTCCGCTCTCTCATTCTAACAGCGCCGTCTGTTCCTAAGGACCGGCAGCCGTGACGTTGTAATTTTCCGCTTCGTGCGCCGCATCGATTCCTCTCTTTCTTTGTCACCACCATAATGAAGATTCTAATATCGCGGCCCTTCTCAAAACCCCTCCCCTCGCCCCCCCGCCCCGTTGGCAGGACCACCACGTGAGCGCGGTGGGCGTCGCCACGACGATGGCGCACGAGATGGGGCACAACCTGGGCATGACGCACGACTTGGCGGAGCGGGGCTGCGTGTGCGCCACGCCCGAGGAGCGGGGCGGCTGCCTCCTGTCTCCCGGACTCGGGTACGAGCCGCTGACGCCATAAACAAATCAATAATCACTTCATTGCGCCCCTGCCCCCGCCCTCCCGCCCTATTGCGACATCGGCGTCGCGTTGCCCCGAGTCGACGAATCCGTTGGGAACTCCCGCCGAGCGGTGCGTAGAGACCCTCCTCCGTGTTGGAGAACGGCCCACAGAACCGGATATCACGGAGCTACCTCCGAGAGCACTCCAGCGACCTCTGGTCCGCACGGTAGAGGCCAGCGCTATCTATATATATTAATATATATAAATAAATATGACGGTCAAACCGACATTCCTCCGGGCTGGAATTTTGGCAATCGGGAACGCGGAATGAAATTTTACGATGGGTTTGTTATTTTTTTAGCTGCGTGCAGTAATTGGTGACCAGGCTGAGACCACCGAGTACTTGGTTCAATCCGCTCACCGCACTCAAGCACTCCGTTTAATCGCAGTGGGCGACCCAGCATCGCTGACCTCTGGGCCACACGGCCTCCTCTCGTGCATCCTTGATCTGAATTTCAGAGTCTGTCGGCGGGGCCCCTAGTGGGTCGTAACGGCCTTGATGGGTCATAATGGCCGACATCGCCCCCCGCCTCCCCGCCGCCACGTTGAGGTGCGGCAGGCGTGCCTTCGCCCACGCCCGATTGAACTTTTAGCTGATGCTCGCAAATGGCGCTTGTCCCATCGGTCTGCAGTGGCCACACGGGAGATCTGTTTGTCTTTGTGCCGCTCAGCTCGCTGTTCCCGCTCGAGTTCAGCAGCTGTAGCCAGGGGGACCTGCGCAACTTCCTCCTGACGGGGCTCGCCGAGTGCCTGCTGTCCCCGCCGGCGCCCGGCGAAGTCTACGGCGGCTCCGTCTGCGGCAACCTCTTCCTGGAGCCCGGAGAGGAGTGTGACTGCGGCACCGCCGAGGTTTGCGGACGCACGGACGGACGGACGGGACGGACGCACGGGCGGAGAAATGCGTGGACAGTTGGACAGATGTAGGGACAGATGTATGGATGGATGTACACACGGATGGACGCTTGGGATAGACGAATACACGGACGGACGCTCGGGATGGATTGTCGAGCTGCACGGACGGACGGCGAGACTGTGGGATGGACCGACACGAATTGACGGACAATGGCACGCACAGAGGGCTGATGTGGATGAGACGCCGTCTCGTGTGTCTCCGCAGGAGTGCACCAACCCCTGCTGCGATCCGCTCACCTGCCGTCTGCAGCCCGGGGCCGAGTGCGCGCACGGGGCCTGCTGCGACAGCTGCAAGGTGGGAGAGCAACCGGGTGCTGACGATGGCGACGACGATGACGACGATGACGATGACGACGATGACGATGACGACGATGACGATGGTGACGATGCAGCAGCTGAGTAGTTTTATGGCCATCTTACTGAACTCACAATTAGAAGGTCATGATTTCAAAATCTAGTTCATCATCATCATCATAAAGTGAGCACCACCGACGACCACCATCCTCATTCGTCGGTGTCGCACGCCTGCAAAACGGTCACACAACGCCGCCGCCGCCCAACCGCCCACGTCAGCCCATCCATGGGGGGGTGGGGAGTGGACCGCTCTGTAAAACCTCTCGCCGGGTTGTCCTCGACGCTGCCGCAGGTGGCACCGGCGGGCAGGGAGTGCCGCCCGGCGCGAAGCGAGTGCGACCTGCCGGAGTCGTGCGACGGCGCCGCCCCGTCGTGCCCTCCCAACCTCCGCATGGCGGACGGCACCCCCTGCCAGGGCGGCGCCGCCTTCTGCCACTCGGGCGCGTGCCCCACGCCGCACCAGCAGTGCCGCTCGCTCTGGGGCGCCGGTAAGCCCCGCCGGAGCACCGCACATCGCGGAGTCGCCGTCCCTACACCGCCCCGCCCCCACCCCAGGCAACTGCCCCCCACCCTGCCCCCACCCACTCCACCCCCCCCCCCCTTTCTGCTTTCAAGCCACTCCTCAAGCCCTTCCATTTCAACCTCACGCTTTGGGATGCCCCTTAATTGCTTCTATCCCTCCTTCCCTTGAGTGAAAGAGAGTGGGGGTGTGTGTGCGTGTGTGTGCGGTGAGATGATTGGGGAGTGGTAGTGTGGCGGTCGGCGCTACGCTGCGCTACGAACCCGGTGACCCGAGTTCGATTCCCGCTCACGGCCAACACCAGTGACGACTATCTGAATGGGTCCTGGGCCTCCACTAGGTCAACTAAACCTCAAATTAGTACCTGCTGGTGCAATGTGTAATTTTTTCCACTAGTGAGACAAAGGCGGCTGGGCGTGGTGCTGGCCACCCACCCCCTCGTTTGCCGTGCCGACCTTCATAGGTGCTCGCTAACAGCACTCGCAGCAAGTCTGTTAAGCCTACATGGGGGATCTTTGTTGTGGTGAGCTTGAAGGCTGCATGAGCTGGCGGGTGGCCGAGTGAGACTGGCTGAGGTGAGGCGATGCTCTCGTGACGAGAGACTCACGCCGTGCCGTGCGCCGTAGGTGCGGACGTGGCGCCGGCCGTGTGCTTCGAACGTGTGAACGTGCAAGGAAACAAGTACGGCAACTGCGGCGTGGACACGCGCGGCTACGTGGCCTGCGCCCAGAGGTGAGACCCCCCCCAACGCCCAGTCTCAGGAGCTTAACAAGCTCGGGCCTGGTCGGGCCTAATCAGGCCTGCTCGGGCCTGGTCGGGCCAGGTCGGGCCTGCTCGGGCCTGGTCGCGTACTCAGATGGGAGAGCACAGCAGGCATTGCCGGGTTTGGGTTGCGGTGTGGCAACCCAATCGGCAATGGATTATTAAATCCATCTGTGTGTAACCGCCCCACTGGTGATGGGTTTTCTCCGGGTTCTCCAATTTCCGCCGACACGAAGCAGAACTCTGCTGCAGGGCACGGGGGGCCCAGCCTGCCCCCCAGTATAAGCGGCACCCCCCTTGCAAGGAGCAAGACTCGGTGAGGAGTCCATGGGCAAAGGCCACTCGTATTATTAATTACAGTAACAACAACAGCAACAAAAATAATTCGTAAAAATCTTCATCATTTAGAATATATATGTATTGCGGAGAGAGCAGATGAGTTTGATTTCTGGCCTCGACTGACATTGGAGGCTGGGCCCTCTCCCCTCGCACTTCACTCATCGAGATTAACCAGCCTGGTGAAGTATGGTCAACGACCATTTAACTTCCTCGACCAACGCAAGTGTATGTGAAGGCCTTCATCCAGCAGTGACCCGATTGCTCAAGTTGAGAGGTCACCCAGATCGTTGGCTCTCTGGCCCCTTCCCTCCATCGCCCTCCCCCCCGTCGATCTACCGACCGACCCCCCCACCCCTTCTACCCCCACCTTACCCCCCCGCCACAGGGACACGCGATGCGGGAAGCTGCAGTGCGTGGGGGGGGAGGGCTACCCCATAACGGGGGTCACGTACACCCTGCGCGTGCCCTGGGGGGCCGCCCTCACCGTCTGCAAGATCGCCGGGCACGAGAGCGACCGCTCGGGGCGGCCCCCCACCGCCGGGGAGCCCCCCGCCGGCAGCGTCCTCTCCGGCACCAAGTGCGGCGACGATAAGGTGTGCTCGGCACGCCGACGAGGGAGTTTCGGAACGGCCCGCAGAGAGTGGATGTCGCGGAGTTAGGCTCGAGATCCGTCTGAGTGGCTTGCGTAGCCACCAACTCTTGTACACATGCCCTGTCACAGACGGATGTTTGTCCCGTGGCAGGTAAACTGATAATTTATTGTTTATTATCAGAACTGGATGTCTGTGTGTGTGCGTCTGTCTGGGGCTGTCCCCGTGACCTCCTGTCAGCGAGCCTTCGACACTTCACTTGGCCTCGGAGTGGGCCTGGCCTGGTGCAGGCGCCGCGGTGACGTCACCGTCACTTCGTGTCCAATGGCGGCTGTTTTTATATGCTGGGCCTGGTGCTGGCCACCCACCCCCCACGTATGCCGTGCCATCCTCCGTATGTGCTCGCTAACAGAACTTGCTCCAACAGTCTGTTGAGGCTACACCGGGGATCTCTTTGTCTTTGCGTGGATGCTCTAGGTGTGCGTCTTTGGGAAGTGCCAGGACGTGAGCTCGCTGGGCGCTGACGAGTGCACGGCCAAGTGCAACGGCCACGGGGTGAGTCACCACCGAGTTCCACGCGGGTTAGGGGTGGGGATCGCGTGTGGGCGAGCTTTCGAGGAGCCGGTTGTGTCACTCCAGTCCTCGCGACTCACTGCTCCGAGCCGGCTTTTCCTCATTTACGACAGACACACAAAGACCCCCCCATATAGCCTTCACAGGCTGTTGAAGCAAGTGCTGTTAGCGAGTACCATATGAGATGCACACGTATACTCGTACACACACACACAATCACATTTTGTATTATCACCGTCTATGTCAGATGGGATGTGTTTACCAATCATCCGGCTCGTGCAGCGCGCAACTGAATTTACATTTCAATGGATAAGGCCCCGGTAACCATGAAAAGATTAAAAGTGTTGGGCCACAAGGACTGGAGTGTGGGAAACCCCGGTGCAGAGGCCGCACGTGGAGGGTCGGTCAGCCGCATACCCTCATCGCCCTCGCATCACAAACACGATTACCGCTCTCGTCGCGAACACGATTACCGCTCGCAAACGACCCTAACGATCCGAGTAATGGAAATGCGTGCGTCGTGTCCCAGGTGTGCAACAACCTGCACAGGTGTCACTGCGACCCCGGCTGGGAGCCTCCGTTCTGCCTGGAGCGTGCGAGTGGAACAGGTGAGAGGCTCTCATCCTTCACAATTATTCTTGTAAAGAGGAAACTCAAGCGGTGACGCTGCGCCGCCACCGCACGGTGTCCTCGCTGTCCAGGAGCGAGAGAAGGACTCGCGGGCGCCAGGAGGAACCGCAGACCAACGGCAAAGGCGGCGGCCGGGCGAACAGCCGGCGCCAAATTCCCCTCCCGCACCCCACAGCTCTGCAGTCCTCTATATATTTTGGTGTTATCGGCCAATTATTGTTTACATGGAGGAAACCACGGCACTCGGAGGGAAACCCACGTGTACAGATGGAACATTTGACGTCCACATTTGCTCTATCGCCGTCTGGCAGAGCCAGCGTATGGCACCTCCCCGACACCCACGGGCAAGGAGTTTCACATCTGTGCTGTGATGCACCAACCGTCGCTGCTGCCTTCAGCGTGTGCAACCCGAGTTCATTCCCGCTCGCGGCCACCATCGGCGACCGATATTTTAACCAGTCCTGGACCTCCACCGAGTTCCACTCGACCTTAAAAATGAGTACCTGGTGCGGTGTGTCGTAAACATCGCCACTGGGGAGACAAAGGTGGCCAGGCGTGGTGCTGGCCGGCCACCCACCCTCTCATGTGCCGTACCGGCCTTCATAAGTGCTGCTCGCTAACAGCACTTGCCCCAACATCCTGTTCAGGCTGTATGGGGGGGGGGAGCGTATCTCTTTGTTGCGTGTGTACGTCCACACCCACACAGTTGCATCAACTAAATCTATCCCTGTCCATCCACCTGCCGCCCCCCCATTACTACTCCCGCGACCCGTAACCCCCCCCCCCCCATTCTCTTCGCCCCCCAGGGCTGCCAGTGGTGGTGGTGGTGTGTGCGGTGGTGGCGGCGGTGGTGGCGGTGGTGGTGGCAGCGGTGGTGGCGGCCGTGTGTGTCCGTCGACGGAGGAGAACGAGCATCGGCTACAAGCAGCACGACAGGTGAGTGCACCGGTGTGTGCACCTAGCCTGGCACGAACACTAATAATGGCGGCGGTGTGCGGTGGTGGCAATGCCGTCGCGGTTTTGCGCGCTGCTCCACGAAAGCCACCGGCCCCGGTTTCTTGGCTCTGGTCGAGTGACGCGACAACTTGTCATGGACCTCTCCTAGGTGGGCTCGGCCATAAACGAGTACACGGTGCGGTGTGGTAACATCGGCACTGTGGAGGCAAAGGCAGCTTGTAGTAGCCCGCAAGCGCCCCTCCGTGCGCCGTGCCAGTCACACCTCAACAACCACTTTGCCTTGACAGCTGTTTGTCGAGATAGGAATGTTTGTCTTTGCGGAGGTGTGCCTTTTTATTAACCTGGTCAGGGCCAACAACACCATTAAAGGGGGGTCCTGACCCTCTGTTTACGATCAATAACGGCCTTCGAATTGCTGCGCAATGCCCCGGTAAAGCTGAAAGGCCCCGGATGTTGGCAAGTTATTGTATTTACCTTGGGGTGCAACAAGGATGGGTTTTATTTTTGGCCCCCTAACACGATTTCAAATGTTTTTTTTTTTTACCCTGTAGTTAAAAAAACTCTTTCCATGGTTTTACCAATAGAGGCTTATGAATGCCTTTTGTGGTCAAGGGGGATGGCTTCCTATTGGTCAACCATGTAGCTTTACGCTCGATGCCCTGGTAATCAGTGCTCGCTCCCAGGAGTTGGATTACCCCGCTGCTAAGCCTTACCATCATGCCCACTAAAACATAGCACCTGCCTGGGTATGTTGTGGCACCGAGCAGTCTACACACCGCCTCAACTCTTTCATGAGCAATTGGGCAGTTGAGAGGATTCCATATCTGGGCAATGTGCTCATGACCAGCTCTAGTTTGACAGAGGAAGTCTCACTCCGAGTCAAAATTATATTATCTTTACATCAGCTGTGTAAAGCTGTGTGGAAGTTACCTGGTCTGTCACTCCAGACGAAACTCCAGTTCTCAAGCCATGCCCTATTTACGCTTGTGAAACATGGAACCATTTACGGAAACACCTGCGCTGGCTTGAAACATTCAGGTTGGGCTGCCTGTAATCGATCCTGCGAGTCTGCGGCTGTTGTGTGTGCCCATGTACTTGTGCTTGTGTGTGTGTGTACTTGTGGGGGGTGGACGGTGGTGTACCGGTTAGGTGAGTGCACTGCGCTACCCAAGTTCAGTTCCATTTCACGGCCGACACCGGTGACGATTATCTGAACCGGTCCTGGGCCTCCGCTAGGTCAACTCAGCCTAAAATGAGTACCTCTAGGGAGACAAAGGCGGCCGGGTGTGGTGCTGGCCACCCACCCCCTGGTGTGCCATACCGGCCTTGATAGGTGCTCGCACTTGTCTCGACAGTCTGTTAAGGCTATACAGGGGATCTTTGTCTTGGTCTTTATACATGTGGTGGGGAGTAGGGATTGTGTACACGTGCGTGTGGATGTCTTCCTGTGTACAAGTCAATCACATTTCGTTTAACCCCAATGAGAATATAATAGTCCTGTTTGCCAGTGACCTGGGCACAACCTTAATAGGCGCTTGCTAACACTAATTTTCCAGACAACAGATGAGCATACAAATACCTCTCCCACACATATAACTGGCCTCCACATGAATGATAAAAGTATTCATTTCACAGCCCGTCGGCCCAACGGCCTTCTGGGAGTGCAAAATTTCAACGGCTTTGATTTGGCAGGTACAAGCAAAACGCCGAACCGGCTTCGGCACATGGTGCATCATCAGCAGACGGTCCACCATTAAAATGAACCCTCCGCCGCTTCGCCCCTCTTACAACTCGCAGCAGGAGCACCGCCAGCGTTGCCAAGACGACGGCGGTAGCCACCGCCAGCGTTGCCAAGACGACGACGGCGGTGGCCATCTCAAGCCCCCGCTTCAAGTCGAGCACGAACCACGCGGCCCAACAACGGCTGCCCCTCCCCGCGCCGCCCCCAGCGGCCCCCGGCACCGTCGCCGCGACACGCGCGTTGTTCCTTCAGAGTCCCTCCGAGGCTGCCCCCGCTCCTCCCGGGGCTCCGTTCAGGCCGCGGCCCCTCAAGTCGGTGACCTCGCCGACCTCGCCGACCTCGCCGACCTCTGTGGCAGCGGTAAGGGGCGGCCGTTGTGGCGCGTGCGGTGGGAGGTTGGTGGTTTTTGTGGTTTGGCCGACGCCCGCCCTCGCACCACGTCACACTGCCTGGGGCACGTGTGCAGGGCACCTGGTTCTCACTTGGTTGTTTTAGTTATGCAGGTGAGAACCGAAGAGATCAGGATAGGAATTCTAATTTTCAGCAGTGACTCCGAGTCACCAAAATAACAATTTTATTAAAAGTACAGCAATGAAGCAAATAGAAATCGGGGCAAAAACGATTGAGCTACAAGAGAAATCGAAAGGGATGTGTGAAATATTTGATTGTTACTCACTAAACTTGCCTGATGAATGGTAAATTGGTCTATGATAGAGCACGTGGGAGATAAGTTCACGTCGCTATTAACGTGAACCATTCTGCAGTCACACAAGATAATAATAAAAAATATATTATCTTAATTTTAAAATATTCTTGGTTCTTTCGGTAAAGTCACATAGAAGGGAAACAATACAATTCTAAAACAATTTTTATTTTATTGTTTCCTTTCTATGAATCCATGCAGTCACGAAAGCTTTAAATCAAAATGTTAACATAGTTGAGAATGTAGCGCCCTCCAGTGGCTACAGGGGTCACGAGAGATCACGTGATACCCGAACCTCGGGATTGGCTGCAATTGGTACGTTACACGCCTAATTTTAATCCAATCGTTGCCTTGGGCAGACATGGGCAGTAGAAGGGCAGTGAAGCAAAACCAATTCCTGTACCACGCTCCCCAACCTCGTCAACTCACTCCGAGCGGCTTGAAGTGTGGTCAAATAAGCCCCACGCCCCGCATGGCGTGAGGAGGCCCTCATCCAGCAGTAGATTGACCAAAGGGCTGTTCGCGATGTGTTGTAACCTGGTTCTATCCCAGCCTTGGTATTTACGCCGAATCTGTGGAGAATTCTCATGCCTTGTATCGTCTCCCATACCCCCCCTTCTCTGACCCCCCCCACCTCTTCCCCCACAGCCACAGCCCAGGCCCCGCCCGCCCGTCCCCTGCAAGCCCCTGCCGCTTCTCTCCACCCGCATTAGGGGGGGGGGCCCATCCCGGCCACTGCTGCCCCCCAAACCGCTCATGCCCCCCAAAGTTGGGCCGCGGTGACACCCTCCCCCCCCACCCGACAATTTTATTTCTTGTTATGCATCGTCGTTTTTGACGGCAGTAGCATCTGCCAATGGTCTATCCACTGCTGAAGGCCGACACTTGTTCGTCACCACGTGCCATGACCCAACTGCTGGATAGACTCGATACACTGCTGCCTATATTCTTAGTTCTTTCGGTAAAGTCACGTTTTATTATTTTGTTGTTTCCCTTCAACGTGACTTTACCGAAAGAACTCAGAATATGAATTACTGCAGTCACGAAAGCTTTAAATCAAAATTTACACTACTACCTATTCACAGTCCTGAAACCCATCTGTCTCGTCTCGCCGATGCACTCGCGATGGGCCCCGTCGCTCGACCTCCACGGCACCTGGTCATCCTCAAGAGGCCGCAGTCCTTCCTTTGGCCGCCATGCCGTCGCCGGTCTTGTTCATTGGCCATAATCGAACATTAACGACCATAATCGACCCTTCTGGCGATTAAAAAACGCCACCGGTCCAAGCCCGTTTGCCGCATCACCAGTCCGTCCCTCCATTAGTGTGATGCCTCCGACGTTTGTTCGTTCCCGGATCCACGTGCTCCTCATCCCCCATTTTGAAGACTGAAAATTACTTGAATATTCGTGGCGATTGAGAGACTCTCTTCACAAGGCTGGAGTGTATTTATCATTGGCAACATCGACTTGACGCTGTTTAATTAATGGCAGCTGAACCTGGATATCGGCCCTGGGGGATCTTAAGGGTGCTGGTTTTGGCCATTAAAACTCCCTTCTCTTTTCAGCCAGCCGGCCCCCACCTAAGGCTGAAATAATTATTAACTTATCATCTCAGCCCAGCCTTGCCTCAAGAGGGTCCCACACGATCTCACAATGACGTGTTGTCTTCTGAAAGTACTTTTTTAACCTTTTTTATGCTTTTACAAAGCAGCTGTGAGGTCTGCAATGGTTTACTGGTCCTAAGTGAATTTTTTATTTATGGGGGTTTTTTTAATCGCGAATTTGCGTTCGAGCCCGTGAGGTTTGAAAGTCTGTTGACCAAAAATACGTGCGACTAATGATAATAAACATGCTCGATCAATGCCAATTATCTTGGACGAGCCGAGTGAAAATCGCGAAGAGAATGTAACGACCATAACCACATCACCGTCAACACCATACACATCGTCCAATTCCCTTGTCACCATCGATGCCAAACAATGAGTCCACAGTCATTAGCTATTTCTCTAACCTTAGAGACCACTATGAAACATCAACACCATTACATGGCGGTCAGAAATGTAAAGTAATGATGTTACCTAAACCAGCATCACCATTAGACATCAGAAACATCACGAGTACAATCGCACCACCACCAGCCGAGCCATTAAAAAAAAAACTTCCAGGAAATGATTCACACCGGCTCTGAAACTGCTTGATGCCAAACCTGGAGTTTGTGGCCGGCGCGTCCCAGCCAGATGACACTGATGGACCGGCGTTTACATCACGGCTCCTGCTACACCGGCCAATCGGCTGCCAGAAAAACAATCCGGGAGCGCTCACACGGAGCGTGTACCAGGATGAGGTTGTTGTCCGGGGTAAGGGGCTGGCGGGGCCGTGTTGGGGTCGTCAAGGTCGCAGGCAGTGTCGCAGGCGGTGTCGCAGGCAGTGTCGCAGGCAGTGTCGCAGGCAGTGTCGCAGGCAGTGTTGCAGGCAGTGTCGCAGGCAGTGTCGCAGGCAGTGTCGCAGGCAGTGTCGCAGGCAGTGTTGCAGGCAGTGTCGCAGGCAGTGTCGCAGGCAGTGTCGCAGGCAGTGTCGCAGGCAGTGTCGCAGGCAGTGTTGCAGGCAGTGTCGCAGGCAGTGTCGCAGGCAGTGTTGCAGGCAGTGTCGCAGGCGGTGTCGCAGGCGGTGTCGCAGGCAGTGTCGCAGGCAGTGTCGCAGGCAGTGTCGCAGGCAGTGTTGCAGGCGGTGTCGCAGGCGGTGTCGCAGGCAGTGTCGCAGGCAGTGTCGCAGGCAGTGTCGCAGGCAGCGTCGCAGGCGGCGTCGCAGGCGGTGTCGCAGGCAATGTCGCAGGCAGTGTCGCAGGCAGTGTCGCAGGCAGTGTCGCAGGCAGTGTCGCAGGCATTGTCGCAGGCATTGTCGCAGGCAATGTCGCAGGCAGTGTCGCAGGCAGTGTCGCAGGCAGTGTCGCAGGCAGTGTCGTAGGCAGTGTCGCAGCTGTCGGGTTTGCTGGGGGGGACCCACGGCTTGGAGGGGGGGTCCAGGCGCCAGGCTACAAACCTCACGACCGCCCGCCGAGCGAGTTTGAGCTCCGAGCAGCCATGGCCGCCGTCTCGGCCCTCATCGCTTCGGGGACGTCACAAACTTCACTCGCACCCAGGCACAGATTTTATTTTCCTCGTCACAAACTGGTCGATAATGCGAAGCAGTAAAATGCAGGATTGTACATTTTGGCTGTAACAATGCCACAATTTAATATCGATTAAGCCAGCAATAACCGTGCCTCCAATTGTGCGTGCGAGGATCCCCGATTGTCGATCGCAATATTCTCCGGACATGAAGGCGCACTTTATTCCACCTGCTTGTAAAAGCAGAGCTCGAGTGGGATTGTGTCACACACACAAACATTCCCTACCAAACTACCATCCGCACACGTGGTCAGAGGCTCCTGAGTGGAGTTAGGTTCTCACAAAGCTAGCAGACATGCGCCCCCTAACTGCTCAAACCTTTGGTAAACTCAAGTCATAAAATTACTCGTAAGAGTTTACAGACTCAACACCAGTCCGCTGGTCTGTAAAACAGTTTCACCTTCCACACCTGAGTCATGAAGACACTGAAGTGGAGTTTAAGCGTCACCGCTTGCATCGCGCATGCAGCCTACACACACACACGGCGTGGCATGTGGCATCGGCGTGGCACGTGGCATCGGCACGGCAAGAATTCGGCTCTCGAGGCCAGCGCCGAGGCTTGAGGCCGGCAGTCATGACGAGGGGGGTTGTGAAAGGCCTGCGCCGGGGAACCTCGCTCCGTCCGCTTCCTTCGGTCCCCCACAACACCAAAAGACGCCGCTCTCGAAGAGTCGCCTCTGCTCTCCGCTGCGGCCCGGACTCGCGATGCTCCCCAGTGAGGACACAGCAGTGGAGGGGGGGGGGGGCACCTCCGCCGTCGTCATCCACGTGCAAATGGCACTTAGCGAAAGTTTTCAACGTCTTCATAAAGTGCGGTAGAAAAATCGACTGCAGGGTAACTGGCACTTCCAGCTCAGTCGGTTGTTCACCCCCGCCCCCCGCTGCCCCCCCCCCCCCGCTGCCCCCCCCCCGCTGCCCCCACCGGCAGTGTTGGCCGGGTCTGGAGAAGTGGTGCCCTCTTCAGGGCACGGACCAGGAAGCGCATTCTCACTCCAGAGTCGAGAGCCTCTGGCTCACACCCGATGATGATGATGCCGAGTGTAATTTCCAGCAAAACATCGTCGTGTACGATTGCCAGCGTTTCGCTTGCTTTTCAACATGCCCGCATTTCTGGAAAACCACACCGAGTTGCACACAAATCCCCACCGGACAACTTCGTTTGGATTTTGGTCGGGTGGCGGTGGGTTACAGCTCAAATTGACGTTATACCTACGACACGATCCAGCCCAAAAGAAGACCAAATATGAACATGCCCATTTGTTTCCTAGTAGAATGTAAACCGTGAACTTCTAATCGGTGATTCGTGAGATCCAACCAGATTTGGGGGATTTGATACCAGTCGCCTAACCGATCCAGGTGCGTCCATTCCCACAATACGAGTGGACACGTGCAGGGCACTCGGTGAAAAGGTCAGACCGTTATAAACTGAGTGTTGCCTGGCACCACACCATCAATAACAAGAAAAAAAACTCGCATTCGTCAACAACACTGACCCTGAAAAAAATATATATAGTATAGGCGACGTTTCGGGCGATGCGCTTTCTCCATAGGAGGAGTAGTATGAAGCGTACAGGGTGGATAGATGAGTTAATTCTCAAATTGTACTTGAATATCCTTGTTGTCGACGTGCGTCTACTCTACACGTCCTGGTGGCAGCGATTTGCTGTGTTTGGGACGGCATCTTTACTCGCTGTCCAGGAGGGATCTGAGCGTCTAAGGGAGGACCTCATCATCCTTGAGACCGTCTCGTGAAGACGCTTATCGAGCCGGAGCCTGTGTTGGTTAATCTCTGACCTTTAACTCGCGTCTATAGCACTACCTTGTAGCCCGTTGAGCTACGTTCGATTCTTACTCCAGAATGGTTTTGTCTCCGCTGGGCACGAGGCGTGAGGTCGAAGCTGCCCCCTTCAGGGAGTCTCAAACAATCCCCCTCGGAGTGACCAATCGTGTGGCCGGGGTGCCGCCCCCTCCGCCGTGACTTGCATCGTCACGTATCCTCCGGCAGGGCCGGCTACGTTCTACCAGGGTGAAATTTAATAGTCTTGGTTCTTTCCGTGAAGCCACGTAAATAAAAATAACAAAAATATTTTTATTTCGTTTTATTTCACTGTATTATTATTTTTTACGTGACTTTACCAAAAGAACCAAGAATATGCATTCCTGCAGTCAAGAAAGTTAAGTCAAAATGAAATGTAATATTTAGTTGATTTCGAGAGCCACAACCTTAGCATTTGGGGAGACGCCATGTGCGCTTAAGTTTCTCCGACCTGCCCACAGAGAAGTGCAGCTATACAATGTCTGCTTGCGGGCTGTTCAAATGCCTTAATATCTCTCTTTTACTTGGCTGGTCAAGTCCTTTGATATTTGGAGAGACTATTTTTGATATGGACTGTGGTACAGGGTGGTAGAGTCTTCGTTTGAGGGTTCATGGAGGTTTTAGTGCTTCTGGTATGAAAGTGGCAAGGCCTCTCTCCAATGGGCAGCTTGGGGGTGGGGGGGGGAATGAGCGATCGGTTTTTCATCTTTAAATCATACGTTTGAATATTTGGTCAGAAGTCGTAATAAGATGCTTCAGCCATACACAGGCCCAGCCACCACCGCTTAAAGAAAGGGGATGACAGGGAGAGGAACAAACATGTCAAGGGAACAATCCCAGACCATCCCACTCGCATTCGGAACGTGCCAAATAACCAACAACAACAACGAAGCTCCTTGTACGAAATCGCCCCAACCGGGCGCAAATACACTTGCAACGCTCAACTCTCCAATAACAGAGCCACCCCCCCCCCCCATGCTTCCCCAACAGAACTGTCCGAATCAAGTGTCCAATGGTAACCGATGACATTAACAAAAACCGCAGGCAAAAGATAACCATCATCTCAACGTTTAGGGAAAGAAGAATGTCAGCGTATCCCTCGTCAATAATTCTTGATCCAGAAAGGAAAAGGAAGCGCAACGTTGAGTCGGCCACCTCCCTGGCAAAGTTCGTAAACTAAAATATCTACACCACCACCACCACGGTCCTGTTCACATTATCAGTCCAAATACAAAGGTCCAAGGGCAGGGCAGGGCAAGGGAGGGGGTGGGAGTTCAAACACTTGCGTTTGGTCACGCAACTCTCACGGAGCGGTAGGACGACCGGAGGACTAATGTGCGTCCACCCTCTGAATGCCTTCCACTTCCCTGTCGTCCCCTCGGCCAAAGACGCACACCGATCCCTGCCATGTAATTTCACCACCGGCATCAAGGGCCTTGATGCATGACCATTGCCCTCCCATCTTCCTCCCGTCCCTTCTAGTTAAAGAGTTCTCCATCAATCCCCATGCCTTGCCATGTAGTTACATACTTGAGCGTGCCACTCATCCGATAACAACAACACCCACGCGTCACTGCGAGAGATTGATCGCCTAAATTTACCAAGTGATTGAGATTGCTCACGAGCGATGTATCGTTTCAAACCACTGCAGGCGAATCAAACCTCCGCAGCTTTGTACCGTGGAACAAAATGTGAGAGTCCACCACAGTATGAAGACATGGATGCCAGCAATCGCACCAAGTGAAAGAAAGAGGGATACATGGATTGGAGAACACACGCAGGTTAAAAAAAACACGTAGATTCAAGGGCAGTTGCAGGTCACAAGAAGGGGATGATGGCCGGTGGTCAAGGCTAACTTGGGAGTGGCAGCCCAAGGAGGGATTGTAGCCCCGAGGACCGCGGCGGTGGCTCGATGACATCAGCTCCTGCGTAGGAGTGAGACCGTGGGATCGCAGGCCCCCAGGAGGGACGGTGGCAACGTGGGGAGACCTTCATCCAGATGTGGATAGATGTCTGATAGTGCTTGCAAACACGAAAGGGGGGGGGGGGGCTATCGGAGGAAGCAGCTGTCGCTGTCCCAAGGCCAACGCGACCCCCCCGCCCACCACCACCTCGGAGCGAATAAAACCAGCGACACCCCCGGGTGCACCAAGCCCCGACTCGCTCCGGACAGCAGCAGGTAAGTGTACAGAGACCAGCGTGTACACAGAGAACAGCGTGTACGCAGAGACCAGCGTGTACACAGAGAACAGCGTGTACACAGAGAACAGCGTGTACGCAGAGACCAGCGTGTACACAGAGACCAGCGTGTACACAGAGAACAGCGTGTACGCAGAGACCAGCGTGTACACAGAACAGCGTGTACGCAGAGACCAGCGTGTACACAGAGACCAGCGTGTACACAGAGAACAGCGTGTACGCAGAGACCATCGTGTACACCAGGCACGCACAGCCCTGTACACAGAGAACACGTGCACACAGCCAGCAGACACAGGTGTACACCACGTGCACACAGCCAGCAGACACAGGTGTACACCACGTGCACACAGCCAGCAGACACAGGTGTACACCACGTGCACACAGCCAGCAGACACAGGTGTACACCACGTGCACACAGCCAGCAGACACAGGTGTACACCACGTGCACACAGCCAGCAGACACAGGTGTACACCACGTGCACACAGCCAGCAGACACAGGTGTAATCTGTTCACACCAGATGTAGAACCTGGAGAAAACCCCACTAGAACAGGGGGGGAGAACATGCAAACTCCAAGGAGAAAGGCACCCGAGTAGGGAATTAAACCCAGGTGCTTATTGCTGTGAGGCATGCGCGTTACGACTGGGCCACTCTGCCGTACGCAACGCAAAATAGACTTTAAAAGTTATAGGGCGATGGAATCGCGATAATCGTCAAATCTTGAAATCCAATATCGTATGGTGAAGCGTCGTGAAACAGCATCCATGTCGAGTTGTGGTTTTTTTTTCGCGCAGAGATGTGGGCCGCGGTTCTCCTGGGAGGCCTCTGTGTGGCGACTGTCGTCACAGGTGAGTGCGTTGCGTTCACACAGGTGAGATCGGAGCGATTGGGGGGGGCTTTAAACTTGGAGGGGGGTGGTTGCGGCGGTCACAGGATCGTGTGAACGCAGGTGGGGAAGGGTGGGCAGCCACGTGTTGGATGTCGATAACAGCGACAACGAAATCGAGAATGCCGAGGATGACGGTGCCGACGAGAATGACGCGATTTTCAAGATTACGATCGTGCCAATAACGACTCTTAAAGACAACGGCTATGTTGACTACGATGATCAGGACGACGATGATTATGGCCCAGGACTCTGGTGACGACGATGCTTCTGCTGCGCGCAGCGAGTCAGGTGTGCTACGACCTGGGCTGCTTCACGGACGACTTCCCCTACTCGGGCTACAGAGAGAGGCCCATCAAGCAGCTCCCCGATAGCCCCGAAAAGATCAACACTCGCTTCCTCCTCTTCACCAGAGCCAACCCCGACACCTGGCAGGTGAGAACATCACCCGGCACGGTGTCCCATCACCCGGCACGGTGTCCCATCGCCGCCCATCATCACTGTATCCCATATCGCCGTGTCACCAATGCGCACGCGCAGGTCGTGCTGGCAGAGGGGGCAGCTGCTGCCACGGGGGGGGGGGCTTGGGGGGGGGTCCCTCGGCTCAACTGCAGCATCGCACTGGAATGCTTGAGATGAGATGTGAATGCACTTTCAACTGGGGCCGAGAGGCTCAGGGGTCAACTCCGTGATCGATAAAATTGCACCACTGAGTGGGAAAGTCGCAAGGGGTTGTCCCGTGCGCATCCTCACCCCCGTCACAGAGACGATGAATGTTCACCGTTGGCGAGGTGTGGCGGCACCAACAGCTTCGTCCACGATGACATCTTGACCTCGATGTACACGCACCGGCCGCTTGTGCTCGTCCAACGGGAACGTTCTTTACACCACTGCTTCTGCGGGGCTGTAAGCGGGAGAGCACCGATGCCTCAAACGCTTCGCTTGTGCAGAAACTCACCCCGACGTGACCCCATTGGCGCTGCGCCCGCAGGAACTGAAATCCCGCGATCCGTCCACCATCGGCGCCTCCAACTTCGTCAGCGGCAAGAGGACGGCGTTCGTGGTGCACGGGTTCATCGACCATGGCGAGGAGGATTGGGTGCAGGACATGTGCAAGGTGCGTCAGGCAGTCAGCCACGCGTCCACCTCTCCTGTGTGTAGACGTCCACCTATCTTATTACCGTCCATTCAAAAGAACCGAGTGTTCGTATTGTTTACACAAGCGTGGTGGTCACGTGGCATGCACGGAAGGCACACAAAGCCGCGCCTTCCTGCCCGTTCAAGAGCAGCACACTTGCGTGTTCTTTAATCTCTCGAGTTGGTGGTCTAGACAAGGCTGACATGATTGTGTATGCAGTAGTGGTCACGTGACGTGCACGCGAGGCATACGGATGGGAGCCGCGCCTTCCCGCCCGTTCGTGAGTTGGTGGTCTAGACAAGGCTGACATGATTGTGCATGCAGTAGTGGTCACGTGACGTGCACGCGAGGCATACGGATGGGAGCCGCGCCTTCGCGCGTCCCCGTTCCGATCCGTGTCCAGCCTGGCACGCGTACCCCCGCCGTGACGACGACGACGATTTCTCGATCGTTCCAGCACAGCTTTGTAATTGTCGCATCGCAGGCCATCGTGGGGGTGGACGACGTGAACTGCGTGGCCGTGGACTGGAAGGGCGGCTCGCGCACCCTCTACACCAAGGCGGCCAACAACATCCGCGTGGTCGGAGCCGAGATAGCCAAGCTCGTCAACACCATGGAGGTGAGCGCGCCACGTGGCTCGTTGGCACGGCGGCTGCTTCAAGAGGCCGGAGGTCGCAGCGCTGGGCCGGCACCGCCGAGACCCTCGACTCGATTCGGGGGTTCAGGTGCCCAACCAAAGCGACTCGGCTGGGTGCTCAACTGTGGCGGGTTGATGCTCGCAGCGAGGCGAACAATGACTCCGCACAAAACGGCCCATCGCATTACATGATTCTGCACTTTATTTGAATTCCTACTGAGGATCACGTGTTCTGTCGGGTTAGGAACAGCGCTATTGCTCGGCCTCCCATGTTTTGTGTTCCGTTTCTTCCTTTTTGTTTACTCGTTTAGCCCAAACGCAGCACGAGCATCTCATTTGCATAAAAAACGAAATGTGTTTTCTTGCAGACACGCTGTTTGACTGGGTTGCCATCTGGCCTGCTTTTCCCGATAGTCCTTGAGGCGGCTATGTCCTGGGAATCTGTCAGTCTTGCCGAGACTTCCAAAGTCCCAATTTTTCCCAGTTGTGTAACAATAAAATTGCACCACTCCATCGACAATGCATTCAGGTGTCGTTTTCCCTTGATCTTTGGGAATTACACATCGCAATCATCGCCCCCTGCTGGAAAACTAATGCACGTTTGCAGGCCAGGCCCTGAGTCGTGTTTTGCCACATAGAGGGCAGCTGCCACTGGGGGTGCCCTTTCAAAAGTTTGAGACCGCTCCTAGCGTACAGCAGGGCGCTCCACCAATAATAAATAGTCATTCTTCTAGCTGCGGTAAGTCCAGGTTTTATTTTTGTACCTCAGAGGTAGCAACGCTCGGGGATTCTGTGCGTATCGCGAGCCGCGAGAGTCACGATGTTGATGGAGGGATCGTGGTGGTGGTGGTGGTGGCAGGCTCAGTACGGGGCGCGCCAGGAGGACGTGCACATCATCGGACACAGCCTGGGGGCGCACACGGCCGCCGAGGCCGGCCAGCGCCTGCCCCGGCTCGGGAGAATCACCGGTGCCTGGCACAGAACCTGCATGTCTACCCACCTGTCTACCCACCAGTCTGCCTACCCTTCCTATACCCACCCACCTAACCACTTACTACCTACCCACCTACTTAGCACATCACCAGAACATCTCCTTTATCTACCCACCAACTCCGCCTTGCTGCCTACTTAACATACCCCTCCGTGATGTCTCCCGACTGTAACGAGACTTCCGTGCTCAGCCTGAAAGAGAGTACCTGGCAGCGGGGCATAAACATCCACCACTGGAGAGACAAAGGCAGCCGTGGGCACGGTGCTGACCACACCGCCCACTCATATGCAACACCTTGCTAGGCTTCATAGGTGCTCGCTAGCAGCACTTGCCCCCTGTGCGAGCTACACGGGGGATCTTTGTCTTTGTGCCCAGGTCTCGACCCGGCCGAGCCGTACTTCCAGAACTGCGACGTCGCCGTCCGCCTCGACCCCTCCGACGCCGCCTTCGTGGACGCCATCCACACGGACGCCGCTCCGATGATCCCCAACATCGGTGAAGCTCGGACCCCGCCCCACACGACGCCCCCCTCCCAACCTCTGCCCCTTGCCCAACGCCCATCACAATTTGGGGTTTCGGCAGGGTTGCCACTTGACCATGTTTCCCCAGGATCACACTTTATTTTGGGGAGGGAGGCGGGGGGGAGAGGAGGTCAACCCTTCTCGATTACTGTTCCCCTGTCCTGGAACTCGTCACATCCTGAAATTCAAAAGTCACTAATTTCGTGCATTTCGTATTTGTTTCGAACGTCTCTTTGGTTTTTTCGGTAAAGTCACGTATAAATAAGAAATAATAAAATAACATAATAGCGTACGACGTTTCGGTTGCAACACAAGCAGCCATCATCAGGTACAGAAGAGCTAAATTTACGAGAGAGAGGAAACACATAACCCCAGATGTATATACAGACACCCAAGTAGGGGGGAACTAACACAGATACAACAGGGGACACAGAGAGAGAAGCATACCAGATTTATATGGTTTCCAAATTTTGCTAAACCCTGTTGTATCTGTGTTAGTTCCCCCCTACTTGGGTGTCTATATATACATCTGGGGTTATGTGTTTCCTCTCTCTCGTAAATTTAGCTCTTCTGTACCTGATGATGGCTGCTTGTGTTGCAACCGAAACGTCGTACGCTATGTTATTTTATTATTTCTTATTTATACGTGACATTACCGAAAAAAACAAAGAGTAATTCCTGCAGTCACGAAAGCTTCGAATCAAGTCTGTTTCGAACGTATATAGCACAAGGCTATCCAGAAGGTGCTGTCTCACAAACATAGTCTGCCGTGGTTTCACAGCAAGGGCTATGTTGCTGTGCACTTCCTACTGAGTAATGTGCGCTGTCATTTTAGGGATTTGTTCAATGTGGACCGTGATGCTGGCACACAATTACCTACTCTCTTGCCGAATGACATCACGGAAATCTTTAAACTTCCACCGCGAAGCAGACTGTGTGCGCAGTGCGTTGTGGCTAATACACCCCCCGTGTGAATCGAACTGTCAACTTTTGCAACACGTGGAGAATGTGTTACCACTGAGCCGTTGCCACCACTGCTTGGAGGTCACATGTCAACTGTGCAAGGGTGGCAGGATCTGGTGGAAGGTAACGATGGTGATGATCATGATGGTGGGTGACGATGGTGATGGCTTATGTGATCATGATGGTGGAGATGATCGTGATGATGGTGGTGATGACTCATGTGATGATCCTGATGGTGATGATGATGGTGGTGGTGATGATGATGATGGTTGTCTCAGGGTTGGGCATGAAGCAGCCGGTTGGGCATCTGGATTTTTATCCCAACGGAGGAGAGGAGATGCCCGGCTGTGACAAGAACATCATCTCCACCATCATCGACATCAACGGCATCTGGGAAGGCAAGTCGAGAACTGTGCACCAGCGGTAATGGTTACCTTACCCTGGGTAATGGTTACCTTACCCTGGGTAATGGTTACCTTACCCTGGGTAATGGTTACCTTACCCTGGGTAATGGTTACCTTACCCAAAGTAATGGTTACCTTACCCTGGGTAATGGTTACCTTACCCTGAGTAATGGTTACCTTACCCTGGGTAATGGTTACCTTACCCTGGGTAATGGTTACCTTACCCTGGGTAATGGTTACCTTACCCTGGGTAAGTAGCTGCTGGGATACCACCCAAGACCAGATTTTCGCTCACTCTGATTAATTATTATACACAGTCGAGATTTTTGGTTGCATTTTTAAAGATTTTCAGATGTTACTTTAATTTTTAAATTACTCTATGGTGGTTTAGCAATAAAGCGAGTGGCTCACAATCAGATGTTTGCGAGTTCAAATCCTGGTTGCGGGTTAACTCAGCCCATCATCCTTCCCTCCGGGGTTGCATAAAACAGGTTCTCTACTTTGTGAAGAAAGTCAACAGTGGTTTTCCTAAGGAGACAAGCACAAGAACCATGCACCAGCGGTAATGGTTACCTTACCCTAGGTAATCATCTGCCGGGATACCACCACCCAAAGGCCAGATTTTCACGCACTTATTATTATAGTCTAGATTTTCTTGTTACATTTAAAATGGTTAAGTATTTGTATTATAAATTACTCGAGTATGGCCCAGCAATCAAGAAAGTGGCTCACAATCAGAAGGTTGCAAGTTAAAATCCCGATTGGGGGTTGATTCGGCCACCCCTCCCTCAGGGGCTTGGTAAAATAAGTACTTGGCGGGGAAGCCCGTGGCTTTCCTATGCAGACAATCGCCACTGCCAAGGGAATGTGGAATTTCCATCACTGGCTCAGGGCTGTAAACAGGAAACAAGCACCAATGCCTCAATGCTTATTTGACCAGGAAATAACTTTTGACTTTTAATTTGATTTCATTGCTTTTTGTCAAGTTGGCGACCCACCTCTTACAAACGAGACCATGCTTAACACGTACGCTTCCGCGACCAATATCATCCATAACATAGATTTTTTTTTGGGTTAGATCGCGTACATATATAAATGTGTCGTTAAATCCGCCACCACCCGACACAACCAGCTAGTAAGGTTTGTCACGTAAACAGAAGATGACAATTCGTTACTAGTACAGCACACCGGTGTGTTGGAGAGCAAATCCACAACATTTACAATCCGACTACGAGGGAGACTATGCTGTCCGCTGGAGCCTTCACTCGTTTAAACAAAACTGAAATAAACTTTCGCCAGCGTAACCACAGAGCGCGTGGCCCGGTTCCCCGTGGTCGGTGTTGATCGCAACGCGGTGCCGTCACCAGGAACCAGAAACTTTGTGGCGTGCAACCACCTCCGTGCCTACAAGTACTTCACGGAGTCGCTCACCAACGAGGAAGGCTTCGTCGGATTCCCCTGCAGCGACTACGACGCCTTCAAAAATGTATGCCGCACTGACTGCACGCCGTCGCCGCGGCTTGTGCCAGTGGTGGTAATCGGGAGGTATACTAGACGCGATGTGCCCGGAGCGAAAATATTTTAAGGGTCGCTGACACGGACGAGATTCAGCGTAGGTGTGCCGCCCTTGGTGGTACAGTTGTCACTTAATATTCTCTGGGTTGCTGGGAGACTTAAGTAAAACGTTACTGGCATAGCCAGCCTCGGAGAAACTTTAACTGGATGTGGTGTGCCAGGGTGACCGAGACCTGGAAGGTTGAAACAAATCCAGAAGTTGCTTGAACAAATTCTGCAGTAAAACATGAGTCTGCAAAGTCAATTGAATGATGGCCTTAAATATATATTTGTATTCATATGCAGAGACACAAATGTATGTTGGTCCTCATGTCCTCTCAACCAAACGCCTTATCGTCATTCCCACATGCCTGACCGTCTCTGCTATCCCCGACTGCCCTGCTGCCCTGCTGCCCGGCTACCTGCTGCTCTGCTGCAAACCGTCCACACCACAGGGGCAGTGCTCCACGTGCCCAAGCGGAGGATGCCCCCGCATGGGTTACTTCGCATCCAAAAGCTCCGTGGCCGCCGGGACCATAAACAACATCTACTACCTCAACACCGGAGCGGAGCAGAACTTCTCCCGTGAGCTCCACGCATCACCGCTGCCTGCCACACGTGCACCAAGTCAGAGTGACATCACTCGCCGGTGATGATAGCCGCTGCCGTGAACTCAACGCTGGTCACCAGGTTCACAGCGCAGGTGGCTCAGCTGTTGAGCGAGTGGCTCGTATTCGGAGGGCTTGCGAATTCAAATCCTCGTTGCGGATTGACTCGGCCCCATCGTCACTCCAGTCAATTAAAACAGGTCCCACTTCGTTAGGACGTCAACAGCCGTCGTCCTATGCAAATCAATACCCCCGGCCATATAAATGTGGAATTTCCTGCACTGGTTCAGGGATGTAAAAAGGAGTCATGTGTGCACCACCTTAATGCTCGTCACAGACGCTACAACATTTCATGAAACCGTGTAAGAGTGAACGTTCCATACTTTGTACGTTACCATGTTCACGTGATCACTGCAGCCACTCGTGGCCGCTGCATTCACCAATGTTCACAAAAATAACCGATCATTTAATGGAGTGGCAACCCTGAACGACGACAAGCGACTCGCCAGTGGGCAAGGTTGAATCGTTTGACCGCAAGGCGCGAACGTCGCTGCGACGTTTTGTGCTGTGTCTAGGCTGGCGCTACGAGGCGACTCTGACGCTGTCTGGCACCAAATCGGTCAGAGGGATCTTTAAGATCGCTCTGTACGGGCCCAACGGGAACACTCACCAGCACCAGCTGACACCGTGAGTAGCCGGCGTCGGTCAAGTCAACAAACAGCGTGGGTTAACTCACAAACGCACGCCAACACACGAACAAAATACACTTGATACGGTGGCTCTTGGTGCTCGAAAGGTTAAAGCAATCATGTGCAGCCAAGGTGAATTGCAATAGGGGCCCAAACGGCAGCTCCAGGCAAGCGTGATGCTATCCACAAGGCACAAGGCCGCAGTGTTCACCAGTCAAAGTCAGCAGCAGCAACTCTCGAGGTTTGCCCACAGTTCCAGAGTTGCCACGGATTCTCCAGGCAAGGCCCCTGGGTTCTCCTGGCAGCTCTGAGATTCTGGGTCACTCTTTTCCCAGGTGAAGCTGGCAGCTCTGAGATTCTGGGTCACTCTTTTCCCAGGTGAAGCTGGCAACTCTGAGATTCTGGGTCACTCTTTTCCCAGGTGAAGCTGGCAGCTCTGAGATTCTGGGTCACTCTTTTCCCAGGTGAAGCTGGCAGCTCTGAGATTCTGGGTCACTCTTTTCCCAGGTGAAACTGGCAGCTCTGAGATTCTGGGTCACTCTTTTCCCAGGTGAAGCTGGCAGCTCTGAGATTCTGGGTCACTCTTTTCCAAGGTGAAGCTGGCAGCTCTGAGATTCTGGGTCACTCTTTTCCCAGGTGAAGCTGGGGAAGCCCACTTGGACCAGCCGCCGCCTCCTCCTCCTCCACCCCTCGCGGGCACCTTTGCCGGTCATGGGGGTTGTTTGACCGTACTTCACCACGATGGTCGGGCAGAGAGGGTGGGCCAGGACGAGTTCAGTTATCACTTGTCACCGATGTTAGCCATGGCCAGGAATAGAACGCAGGTTGCTGGGGGTCATCGCACAGCGAGCCAATCGTGGTGCACGATCGGAACGTAGCGTGGGACGAAACGATGCGGTTGCAGGTCAAGGTGTGCGAGGGGTCTGTGCAAAGCCGCGTGACAATCTCCAACAATTGCCTAACGTGCAATCGGTAGCATAGCATCGCTGGCATGGGCCCTGGCACAAGGAATGAAACGCCCCCTGCCACCACCACCCCCCACCCCTTATCCAACGCCCCCTCCCCCCCAATCCTCTTCATAGCCAGCACCGAGGACCCTGTGGCCCATGGGTCTCAGGTTCAGCTGCACTGCCCCCACCACTCGATAGCGACGCGACTGCCTACAGCCTCGAACCCTCGTGATTCTAAGTCCACGCGTGCCGCTACCCACAGGCCAGCGCTGCGTTCAACTCCGCTTCTTAAAATTCCGTTGGCGCCTCCGCACTATGGAGTCAAGAGTGATGTTGATGACGATAAAGATAACACGGCTAACCCGCAAACCCTTAACCTCCGACGTGACGGGGAACAGGGCACTTGCACATTGCCAATGCTTCTAGCACGATAGAGCCCCAGCCACCAACTCGGTTGCCGATCCCCCACAGATCGGCGACGTCGCTGGAGCCCGGCAAGACGTACACGTACCCCCTGGACAGCGAGGCCATGGTGGGCGAGGTCACCAAGGTGAAGTTCCTGTGGGATGACAACGTCATCCACCTCGTCCGCCCCAAGCTGGGGGTGACCCGCCTCGAGCTCAAGTCGCCGTTCGATCAACAAACGTGAGCAGCACTTTGAACAACCCACCACTAAAGTCAAGTTGCCTCCACATCCAGCGCGTAAAACTTCAATTCATAAGCACGTACAGCCTTTAAAAAGGGGATGACTTTTGTTTTATTCTGCCCTTAAAGGGACCCGTGCACTTTTACTCTGCCCTTAAAGGGACCCGTGCACTTTTACTCTGCCCTTAAAGGGACCCGTGCACTTTCACTCTGCCCTTAAAGGGACGTGACCTGTACGGCCCGTTGTTGCCCATGACATCGCTTTGGGTCCGCCACCTTTCTCGCAGAGCAAGGCGGGACACATTTACAGCCGAAGTCTGTAAAATAAACACGCTTTAATGAAATGTACCGTACGGGTAACGGCAGAACTCCAAGACTCCAGGAAGTGGTCCCGAAGCTTGCCACAACGTAAGGGGACTGTGGTGATTTACAGCCAACGTTAGTTGAGCGTCGACAATTAAGACTCAAGCCGGAACATAACATATAAAAAAGAATGTTTAAAAATATTTTTTTTATATAGAATATAGTATTGTCATCAGTATGACATAAGTATACCAAGTTTGGAGTCGATACCACATTGGGAAGTGGGTTAACATTGCGTTACAAGATTTGAGGATACAACAGCGACAGAGTGAGTAAAATAAAAGCGTGTAAAATGAAACTGGTGCCGCCACACGGCAATTAAGTTCCACACGTGCCGGTAACCACATCTCGGGGACAAAGATACAACTCCTGCAAACCCACAACACAACATGCCAATTCAAGGTTGTACCCGGTCAAAGACAGGGCCAGGTGGTGGCAACCCTACCAGTGGGAGATGGGGGGGGGGGCCCCCTTCCCCGTGCCGCGAGGTTATCTCACCACACGCCACTGACACCGCTTTGGTTTGGCCAAAGCGGGGAGAGGGTAGATGCTCAAGCAGAGAAGTACGGTACAACAATGGACGTTGCCCCAATCGCGTCTGTTGTTCACAAGGCGGTCCTGCGTTGAGCGTCAATGATGGTGATTCGACGTCGCCTTACCCCCCTGTGCGTGTAGGTACAATTTCTGCGCGAGCTCAAACGAGGTGGTGTACAAAGAGGTGCTGCTGACGATCAACCCCTGCTAGAGACGATCGCCACGGACTCCCCACCACCACCACCATCATCGAGAGAGAGAGAGTCCCCGACTGCCATTCACCGCAGCTGGACAGCAGTCCATTTGCAATGTAAATCTGTAATAAAGTGCTTTAAATGATAAATAAAAGCACACGCACGTCGCAACGTCTGTCAAAAGTAATTTATCCCGAGGCGAAACCTTTGGACCCATGAACCAAGTGGGCAACCGTTGCTGGCAACTCGTCAGCAGCGGCAACTCGTATCCCGCACCAATCGTGGTGGCCAACACGTTACACCAAACTTTGTTACATTTTACTCCATCTCCACAGTCCAACAGAAAGCTACAACCACGTTTCCTGGATTCAAGCCTGTAATGTCCAATGCTACTATAGTCATGTAACTACCCGTCAAGAGATTATGCATTACGACTAATGCTGGACATTACCCATGAATCCCCACAAATACGAATTGACCGCTTCATTTGTGTGTCGCTATTAAAACATTTAGCTTGACATACTCTTTGGTTCTATTCGGTAAAGTCACGTAGGTAAAAAATAACAAAAATCACGACGTTTCGGCCACAACACAAGTGGCCTTCATCAGGTGAAGGGACCGTGTTGTCATGAGGACAGCTTTACCCAGCATCACCGTCGCTTACACCGACGATAATTTGCGTCAGCAATTGCCACGTGAACTTAAGCTATTGGAACATAAAAGCAAATCGACGTAAATCACGAGGTTCACCGCAGGCTCCGCCATACGCAGAACTGGACCTGCCTCAGGCTCTGCCACGTGCGCGGCCGGTTAGGCCCGACTCAACCACGTGGGCGAATGTCCATCCACAACAATGATCGCGAACGTTACCACGATCAATGCAGAGTTGGTGAGCGCACGTTGTGTATCTGTCATGTCCCTGGAACGCAACTCGGCAGAGGTAATTTTTGAGATGTCGATTCAAAGCGTACGCGGGATCCCGGTACATTCTCTGCATGGACTGCGTTGAGCGGGGCAGGGTCGAGAGAGTAGCCCGGAGGGAGGCAGCTCACGAAGGTCACCGAGGAGACGTCTCGGAGGCAGGGTATCCAGGCAAGGGCGGGCTGGAAACGTGGCGACCAGGCCGCAGCACTGCACAATGATTTCCTGGGGGGCTCGGTTAAACCGCCCAGTCTTCTTCTGTTGAAGATTGTTTCCTCCCCCCCCCCCCCCCCCCGTGATGTGTGATTGTTTTATCCAAGCTATCTCAGGCGTCGGCAACCTTTCACAGAAGAAGATCAGTATTTTATTTTTGTCTTTCATCGCAATATTTCGAGAGCCGTAATATCACACGCAGAGCTACTTGTAGGCCAACACAGCAGCAGGTAAACTGCAGCCAAAGAGCCACAGGCTGCCGACCCCAGGGACTCTCTGGAGGCACCTGCCACGTGACACCCGCGTGAGACCCGCGAGAGACAGACCACGTGAGACCCCCGAAAGACAGACCACGTGAGACCCACGAGAGACCACGTGGCGCCTCGGGGAGGGCGCTGTCGCCAAAAACCCAAGCCCCACCCCGAGTCTCCCCTCTCCCCAACTCTCCACTTCCTCTTTCTCTCCCCAACTCTCCACTTCCTCTTTCTCTCCCCAACTCTCCACTTCCTCTTTCTCTCCCCAACTCTCCACTTCCTCTCCCCAACTCTCCACTTCCTCTCCCCAACTCTCCACTTCCTCTCCCCAATTCTCCACTTCCTCTTTCTCTCCCCAACTCTCCACTTCCTCTCCCCTCTCCCCACTCTCCACTTCCTCTTTCTCTCCCCAACTCTCCACTTCCTCTCCCCTCTCCCCAACTCTCCACTTCCTCTTTCTCTCCCCAACTCTCCACTTCCTCTCCCCACTCTCCACTTCCTCTTTCTCTCCCCAACTCTCAACTTCCTCTTTCTCTCCCCAACTCTCCACTTCCTCTCCCCTCTCCCCAACTCTCCACTTCCCCTTCCTCTCCCCAACTCTCCACTTCCTCTTTCTCTCCCCAACTCTCCACTTCCTCTTTCTCTCCCCAACTCTCCACTTCCTCTCCCCAACTCTCCACTTCCTCTCCCCTCTCCCCAACTCTCCACTTCCCCTTTCTCTCCCCAACTCTCCACTTCCTCTCCCCTCTCCCCAACTTTCCACTTCCCCTTCCTCTCCCCAACTCTCCACTTCCCCTTCCTCTCCCCAACTCTCCACTTCCTCTTTCTCTCCCCAACTCTCCACTTCCTCTTTCTCTCCCCAACTCTCCACTTCCTCTCCCCAACTCTCCACTTCCTCTCCCCAACTCTCCACTTCCCCTTCCTCTCCCCAACTCTCCACTTCTTCTCCCCTCTCCCCAACTTTCCACTTCCCCTTCCTCTCCCCAACTCTCCACTTCCTCTCCCCTCTCCCCAACTCTCTTCTTCCTCTCCCAAACTCTCTACTTCCTCTCCCCAACTCTCCACTTCCTCTCCCCAACTCTCCACTTCCTCTCCCCTCTCCCCAACTCTCCACTTCCCCTTCCTCTCCCCAACTCTCCACTTCCTCTCCCCTCTCTCCAACTTTCCACTTCCCCTTCCTCTCCCCAACTCTCCACTTCCTCTCCCCAACTCTCTTCTTCCTCTCCCCAACTCTCTACTTCCTCTCCCCAACTCTCCACTTCCTCTCCCCAACTCTCCACTTCCTCTCCCCAACTCTCCACTTCCCCTTCCTCTCCCCTCTCCCCAACTCTCCACTCCTCCTTCCTCTCCTCTCTCCACGATCCCCGAACTGTGGTGACATCAGTGGGGGAAGCGGAGAAGCGAGGGGGGACAGGCGGGGGCCTGGGACCTGAGTCTACTTGGGGCAAAAGGAATGGGTGACCAGCACCACGCCCAACCGCCTTTGTCTCCCCAGTGGCGATATTTTACACACCGCACCAGCTACTCATTTGAGGCAGAGTCGACCTAGGGGAGGTCCAGGACGGCTTCAGATAATCGCCACTGGTGTTGGCTGTGAGCGCGAATCGAACTCGGGTCCCCGGGTTCGTAGCGCAGCGTAGCGCTAACAGCTGCTGCCCCCGCCCATCACGCTCTGCAATTCGTTCCACTGCGTGACGGTGGCCCGATGGAGAACTTGAACTTTACCCAGTTTCATCGCGGGCAGCTGAAACCGGGATTTCATCTCAAGATCTCAACGGCCGTTACGAAGAGCCACCCACCTCTTCAGCCAACCGGCTCCCTAAGACCGAAACAATAATAATACAATACGTTACAGCAACCCAGCCTTGAAACTACGTTTTTTTATGCAATTCCATTTTTCACAAATAACATCAACGACATTGACGCGAGCCAATCGGCGTCTGGAACAATGGTTGCCACCTCTGAGCTTCCAAAAATCGGGGACATTTCATGATGGCGAGAAGAAAAATACAAAAAAAACATCATCAGGCGAGATCATCAGGAGGGCAGAACGACAAGCCGCACGGGCCGAAGTCGACGTTCCTCACGAGGGCTCAGAGGGATGGTCACTTTCGCCGATAAGACATCGTCGGTGCGTGAGGACCGCCGCACTTTTAAAACCATTGAGGGTTTGAGAGCAGCACGATGATGATGATGGGGGGGGGGGGGTTCACATGTTGTGTATTGTCGGGAGACCCCACGTCAGGGGCCGCACTAAAGGCCACCAGGAGGCCGCCAGTGGCCCGCGGGCCTTGCAATGAAGACCGCTGGCCTAAGTGGGGACTAACAACAACTGGGACTTTTCATGTAGCAACCCAAGCTGGCAATGGTAAGTACTAGGTTGCCTTCCTTCTCCAAGGTTGCCTCCACAGCCATTGTTCACGACCCCAGCAACAACACAGAGTGGTAGGGAGAGGGGGTGGCTATTGGACATGGGAGAGCGTGAGTGAGTTTTGAGCTTCCACGACCACCGTAACTTGACTCCAGCGGATGTTTGTCACAACTGCTCGATAAAGAAAACCAATAAAACGCAGGTTTATACACTTCGGCTGGAGCAATTCTACAATTAAATATCGATTAATCCCACCAATAATGGCGTCTCGGATTGTTCATGCAGAATTCTCGGGCCGGGCGGTGGACGGGGCTTGTAATCCAGCACTGGAGGCGAGGGTTGGTAGATCACCGCACAGATGTCGCGAAACTCCCTTTCCGCAAGTGTCAAAGTGCCATACCGTGGCTTGCCAGGAGACGGCAGTAGAGCAAGTGGCACAAATCGCCATCGGTTTTCCATCTGTACGGGGATAGAGCGTTACCCCCTCGCGCGAGGCATGGGCTATCTCCGAGTGCTCCGGTTTCCTCCCACGTGTGGAACAAACACGACTCGTCATTAATTGGCTGAAATAATCTTCAAATAACACCCACAATGCAGGAGCCACCTGAACAAGATTCCTACAACTCAGTGTGCCTCTCCTGGAACATGAGTAAAACAATATTATTGTTTTGAGTGAGATGCACTTATTCCTCTGATTTTTAAGTAAAAGTTGGGTGCGTCTTATAATTCGGTACGTACATTGATTTGTCCATTGGAGCGTCATGACAAGCCTGGCCCTGCTGATGAGACCCAGCATATCAAACCCGATCCAGGTTTGCCTTTTTTGCTTTGAATGGGGCCCCATCGTTCAGATGTATTGCTCTTGCCAATAAGATCTGTTAATCCGGCAGCAATTATTCGACAAGCCTGACTATACTGATGATGCCCAGAAGACCGAAACCAGTCCAGAGTTTTCTTGCTGAGAAACATATTGGTCTAGAAAGTCAATCGGATGGACTAAAACATAACATCCATATGCGGAGCTACAGAACGGAGTTCTGCTTTTATTCCACTACAGTCCGGTAGCCGTGCGTGCGAGAGACGAGATCTGTCTCATTTTATTAACACTGGGAAAAAGTTTTGGTTGCACCAGGCTCCCTGGAGCGTCTTATTATTCGGAGACGGCGGCAACATTCGGGTTTGCAAGTTGACTACTGCGGCAATCCACTAGAGGCCGCTACATGCACCACTATTTTGTGATGCTGCGTTGGCAGTGGTGCCACAAGCACAATCTACGAAATAACTCGACACATTCGTCGATGAGACCTCATGCGTGTGCTATGAAGAAAGGGCCATTGTCCTAAACGTCGCGTATAGTGAGGGGAAAAAAGTATTTGATCCCCTGCTGATTTTGTACGTTTGCCCACTGACAAAGAAATGATCAGTCTATAATTTTAATGGTAGGTTTATTTGAACAGTGAGAGACAGAATAACAACAACAAAATCCAGAAAAACGCATGTCAAAAATGTTATGAATTGATTTGCATTGCAATGAGGGAATA